ATCTTTGCACTGCACAAAAGCAAGGGTTACAGAAAAGCAAAGATATGCGACTCAAAGCACAGCTAACAAAATAACGGGGCTTTTTCTTTTTGCCTAAAATCAAACTTTGGCACATGCTAACCCTGTCTCTTCCTTTCAGTGTGATCAATCTGTCAGCCAAGAAGCTACTCCTTCCTTTTGTCATAGTTCCCAAGTAAGGTAGCAATAAGCTGATGAAAGCAATTTCTGCAGAACTTGGAATTTTTATTTTGTGTGGGCTAATCTAAAAGTGCACAGATCAAAGAACAGCACATGTTACTTGTGGAGCTACGGCCACAAATAGCATTAAAAGAACTGCCTTTATGATTCATTATTTCGATCTGCTGGAAGGTTTTAAAGGTCAGTAGTTGGCACTGGACAGCACAAAAGAGGAGAAGTCTTAAGAATGTTATGAAAGCTGCATTGTGCATATGGCTTATTTATTCAGAACAGCGGAGTGTAATGAGAGGGTGGTGGTTGTTATTCAGTTATATTTGCTGGAAAGCAAAAGGCCATCCAGTGAGCTGCTTGAGTAAGCAGGGATCTGAGCATGGGATTTCCCACATTTACCGTAAGCCTTACACTCAGCCATCATTGACCCAGTGATACCTTTCACTGGTTGGCCAGTTGTCTTAACCTTCCAGCCAAATCAAGAAGTACTGTATAGTGAAAAGTCTTCTCGTTGCTTGGCAGGAGACTGAATTACCGGGGTTAATGGTTGGTTAATTGGTTAATTGTTACATTCACCCTCTGTCCACATTGCCACACATGGGTGCCAATGTTTTTGTGGAACACGTGGAGTCAGAAATGTATGATACAAGTATAGTACAGTTTTTATAATATATCATTATGTTTTTATTATGACACGCCTTGTTTTCTGGAACGCAGTTCCATTTACAGCTCCCCAAAGGCAGAGAGCATTACATTATTCATACAATCATCTTTTTCGTAGTAAGGAAAGCTAAGGTAGTAAGATTTCGATCTAAACAGAACACTTTTCAGGCAGGAATGTCCTGGGGTCAAATCCTAAAAAAACTTTCAATCCTAAAATCTCAACAACTTTGATCGGCCCTCACGCATGTTCACTTCATCAAATCTGGCCTCTTTGAAAAAAGTTTGGGCACCCCTGATTTAGGACCTCTCAAAGCCATGCTTCATTTTTTTATAAAGTACAAATGTGTGCAATGTGTGATGGAACAAACCATGTCCTTTCTTATTCATAGGTCAAGTCATACTTTATTTCCTGGAAGGATGAGACCAAAGGTCCATCTAATTTAGCATCTCGTTACCCACAGTGGCAATCAGAGGCTTCTGAGAAGCCTACAAGCCGGGAATGAATGCTATAGCCCTGTCCTTTTGTTGTCCTCCAGCAAGTGATTAAAATATCATGATCGTTACCAAACATTCCAAATGCATAAAAGTAAAATAGGTAAAAAGGAAAACTTCCTATCCAACAAGTTTGGATTACAAACCTAACTAGTTTTCTACATTGCCAAGATCAAAAACAGGACTGATTCCTTTTGCAACTTTACAGAACTGTACCTAACAATCAGGAACTGATATTTAAGACATAGTACCTCTGAATCTGGAGGCTCAATCTAGCAATTACAATTAATAGCTGCTTATAGACACATAGAATTGAGAGCTGGACCATAAAGAAGGCTGATTGCCAAAGAATTGATGCTTTTGAATTATGGTGCTGGAGGAGACTCTTGAGAGTCCCATGGACTGCAAGAAGGTAAAACCTATCCATTCTTAAGGAAATCAGCTCTAAGTGCTCACTGGAAGGACAGATCCTGAAGCTGAGGCTCCAATACTTTGGCCACCTCATGAGAAGAGAAGACTCCCTGGAAAAGACCCTGATGTTGGGAAAGATGGGGCACAAGGAGAAGGGGACGACAGAGGACGAGATCGTTGGATAGTGTTCTCGAAGCTACCAGCATGAGTTTGACCAAACTGCGGGAGGCAGTGGAAGACAGGAGTGCCTGGCGTGCTCTGGTCCATGGGATCAAGAAGAGTCGGACATGACTAAACGACTAAACAACAACAACAAATGGACACATTGAGGTTAATGGTCACTGCATCCCATGGCAACAAATTCCGTTAAGTTCATGCAGAAGTACTTTGCCATGAATCTACTGCCAATCAGTTTCAAAAGTTGACCACAAGTTCTACTACTGTGTGTGAGAGAGCCAAAGCATGTTCCACCTGCTATTTCCAAACCATACATAGTTTTAAATAAACCTCTATGATCACATCCTTCCTTAGCTGTCTTTTGTCATTTTATTTCCCATTTACTCAGTTTGGAGAATTCCTTTGGAGTGTTCTGCAATCAGCTTAGGTTTTTAATTTGCCGCTATCTGCAAACTTGGCTACGGTTGCCTCACTGCTTATCCCCAACTCCAGATAATTTATGAATAAATTAAATAGTCCCAGTCCCGGTACATCTCTCCATTGTGAGAACAGTCTGTTTACTCTTAAGAATGCTTGAATTATGGGGCTCAAAGGACTTCTCAACAAAATCCACAAACCCACCCAATTTTCACCCCAATTCAGTCAAATGATTTCCCCTAGGTCTTCAAAAAAGGCAATAAAGGGCTGGTCATAAAACCTTTCTGCATCCTCTTGTAATTCAAGCACCAAGTCCAAGTCTTGTTTTGAACCAGTTACTGCTTCATCATTCACTAGTTACTGATCTATAGGCACTGTCATTTATTCTACAACTCTTAAGTATATTGATGTGCTATACACATTTTAAATCACCTGCTGCTTGCAAGGCAATGATTTTTATTTTTAATATTGCTGTTACCTACCCCACACTTACAACTACTAAGTTTCTTTTCTTAAAGTTCTATGTATATAATATTATTATATCATATTATATTATTCACCAACCTAGTGCCCTCCAGCTGTCTGGGACTAAAATTCAGTTGCTGGTTCTAATATTTTCCTTGTACACTCTAAGTCTTCCAGGATACACATCAAATAACACAACATATTATTATTACTACTGTTATAAATAACAATTTTCATCCCAAAACAGCATATCATAGCAACATTAATACAGTAGTATGTACATATTTCTCTCTCTCTCTCTCTCTCTCTCTCTCTCTCTCTCTCTCTCTAATATATAATCTACAGTGTGTTTGTGTGTGTTAGAGAGAGAAATTTTGTATCCCATACATTTCAACTGTTTTCAGAGTTGTACAAATAATTTAGTAAATAACAGCAGTAGCAATGCTAGCATACCCTCCTCTGGGCTCCTTGCCTTGCCCGCCTCTCCCTTTCACACTTTGTATGTAAGCTTGTGACCAGGGAGGAAGGATAGATGAATTATAACAGGGCAAGAATTAAGACCAAACAAAGGATCGTGGTTCAGTGGAAGAGCTTCTGCTTTGCATGCAGAAGGTCACAAGTTCGATCCTGGCATCTCCCTTCTCTGTGGTAGATCAAGAGGATGGCAACAGGAGAACAGACCTTTTCAGTGGTGGCTCAACGCTTGTGGAAGACTCTCCGCAGGGAGGCTCGCCTGGCACCCTCTTTGCCTAGTTTTAGGCACCAGGCAAAACTTTTCCTTTTTTTACCCAGGCTTTTGGCCCCTTTTTTTTTTTTTGGAAGGTTTTAAAAGTATTTGTGGCCTCTTTTGGTTGGGGGGGGGGTCTGCTTGACTTGCCTTTTCATTTTTGACAGATGTACTTGTTAGGTTTTTAATGGCGTTTGTTGGAACTGGTTTTTAGTATTCCCAGAGCTTTTTTCTGGGGGTACACATACCCCTAAACATTTTGTGAATCTTTGTACTATAAAATGGTGATTTTCTTGAATCAAAACAAGAGTACCCCTAAACAATTTTTTTGGGGAAAAAGCACTGAGTATTCCTAATGTGTTTGTAAGTTGTTCTGAGTTATTTTTACAAGTTGCTAATAAATAACAATAATCATCTCTGCACAAAACCAGAGAGAGCCATTGCCAATCAATGTATACAATGGTCCAACTCAATACAAGGCAGCTCCCTAGGCAAGCCTGCTCCCAAATCTGCTGGTCCGGTGAAAGGCATCTCTTTACTTGTCTTTAAGGAGGGTCTGCATCCCAGGGGTAGATCCTGCTTTGTGTGCAGAAGGTCCTAGGTTCAATCCCCCCCCCAAATCTCCTGGTGGGGCTGGGAAAGAGAGACTCCGACTCAAAACTCCAGGGAGCTGCTGCTGCTGCCAGCCTGCACAGGCAATACTGGGGCGAGGCAGACGAACAGCATGTTAGACAGCATCTTACATGTTCTTAGAAGCGTGTTGTGTGGTGTGTGTGGAAAAGACCAACCAGTGCTGGAGTTAGGTTTAATGAGGCCCTAAGCTACTGAAGGTAATGGGGCCCTTTATATGTCCAGCTGTCCTTTCTCAACAACAAATTGTCGCTGTTTTTTGTGTTGAATATATGCTATATGGTAATTTATGGACCTAATAGGTATCTAAAGCCATTTGCACAAGTTGCCATGCAACCAGTCCATGCAAAATGTAGGCACCCTATATACAGAAATGAGCAAACCAGTGATATTTTAGGGAGCAGGCTAGCAGGCGGGGCCCATGACTTACATCATAGGCGCCTACACAACACAAAACTGGATCTTGTGCATCCATTTTTTCCCCTTTTATTTTTTGGGGGACCCCCAAGAGAGTGGGGCCCTAAGCTATAGCTTGTTTAGCTTATGCATAAATCCGGCACTAGGTGGGTGGGTGTGGAGAAGACCAACGCATATCCCCTTAATGACTACGTTGAGCTCCAAAGGCTCCTGCTCTGCGGGCGGCTCTGCCCAACTACAGAGGAGGGAAAAACAACCCGAAGGCCTCACTTGAGGCGAGGCGAAGCCAGGCCCGCCACGAGCCGGCCTTAGGCCCCGCCCTCCGCGCTGCCATAGAGACCGTCTCTATGGAAGAAGGGGAGGAGGAGGAGGGAGGGATGCTGGTGGCGGCGATGGTCCTGTTTGGCGGCAGCAGCAGTAGCAGCAGCAGCAGCAGCAGCCGCCGACGGAGCGAGCCATGGCGCGCTACGGAGCGGGGTCGTGGTCCCACAGCAGGCGCAGCGGAGCCGCCCTCACCACCCTCCTGCTGACAGGTTGGTCTCTGCGAGAGCCCCCTTCCCCGAGCGGCGAGCGGCGGCGGCGCCCTTCCCGCCCGGGCTGCGCATTCCCCGGCTACGGCCTGCTCCGGAGCCCGCGACTCCGCCCCGGGGCCAAGCGGCGGCGGCTCCCCGGCTCCTCTCCCGGCGGCCTCGGTCCCGGGTTCTCGCCCCACTCCCGGCCGCCGAGGCAATGGTGGAAATTTCTGAACCTTCTGCAGAGAGGGAAAGGGCCGGGGTGGCGGGAGGGCTGGAGGCATAGGGTCGGAAAAACAAGGGCATGCTCATTCTTGCTTCCATGGCTGGACGCAGCGTGTGTCCCCCCCCCCCCACAAACACACACACACACACACACACACACACACACACACACATCCCAACCCAACTCCCCCCGAATAAATTTTTGGATTTCCACGCATGCACAAGTGGAATTTCTAAGGATAAATGAAATGGGTAGAAAATTTGGGTGGGATTGGATGCGGGGATGTAAATTAAGTGACACTGTGATCCTGATGGGTGCATGTAGGATATCTTGACCTGAGCATCCAGTTTGCAAGGATCCATTTAGAAATATATGGACAGAAGTAATTCCCCCCCCCCTAAAAAAACACCCATCTGTTCCATTTCAGAGGCAAGTATTTAGAATGAGGAGATAACATGTAGTAGAACATTAGCAGTAGAACATTAGTACGTTGTGTGCCGGCTTAGATTTAGATCATACTGAAGGACTGTAGATGATGGTTAATGTAAGACACATTCCTCTATTGCAGACCACCCACCAGCTGTGTGCTTCTGTGTGTGTGTGTGTGTGTGTGTGTGTGTGTGTGTGTGTGTTGGCCCAGGGCTTGGAATCACAGCCATTTATTTCACCCTTAGGATTACACCAGCTGGGGAAGCTTGGGCAAATGTAAGAGTGAGAATCCTATTTACCAGGAGAGGAGAACATACTTAAATGCTTGCCTGGGCAAACTAGGGCATAGGAAATAATCTTCAGAGCAAATGAAGTCATGATGAGGTATATTAATGCACAAGAAGAAACATGCAATATACCATAAAGCAAAGTATCTCACTGGGTAGCTGGTGTTTTAACAGTAGATTGGAAACGTTTTTCAATATTTGCCTTTTTGCTTGACTAGTGATGTTTGCAGGTACTTGTACTCCATGTTGCATTGTGAATATTTGTTGCTGAGAAAGGGCTTGCCTTCAAAATTATGAGGAGAATGTTAAGGGCACACGGGATCAAATATGCCAAGGATAGGGGAAAAAAGTGGGGAAACCTGTACTTTGCAACTGATTTTCTATTTCTTCAGATTAGAAAAACATAGAAGGCTTCCTTATTTGAAGTCAGAGCATAGGTCCACCATGTCTCAGACAGTATTGTCTACATTACAGCTCTCCAGAATTTCAGATAGAAGCATTTGCCAGCCATGCCTGGAAATATCAGGGATAGAACCTGGGTCCTTTTACATACATGACATGTGTCTGCCACTGAGCTTAATGTTTCCACTTGTCTGTGGTGAATAAGAAGGCACAGATAATTGCAACCTAAACATATTATATTGTCTTCACATACAAATTCCACATTAGAGTAGTACCTTTGCTGGGCCAACTAAACAATCTCAAAATAGCGTGCAAACTCTCAAGTTCTCCAGAACTCTTAATTAGGTTAGGTAGTAAACAAAGTGGGTGGGATGGAGGAAGAAAAGTTTGCTGATACTAAAATGTGATGGCTGCATCTGGTCACAGGCCTTTGAGATAGAATGGGAGAGGAGGTGACAAGCATTCAAAGTAGGCTGCTTAGGTGCCATGTAGGTGTCAGGTTGCACCAAGGCTTGGTGGGAACCAGAACTATATAACTATGGCTCCTTCCCCATCTCTGGAACCACAGAAGATCATTTGTACCGGATCCCTCTTTGTATGGTGAGAGCCTACTTCACGGGTGGGGGAACTGGATTTGGATGGTATGGTTTCCCCCACCCACTGCAGGCCAACTTTGACAGTTGGGTGCGAATGCCCACCTGACAGTCACTTGATATAACAGTGACATCAGGTGACCCAGTTTCCTTTGCTTGCACAATTTGAAATCAAACCACTGTGGGAAAAGGCAGAGCCCTTTTGCAAGCACCAATAATCAACTGATTGTTGGTGCTTCCAAAGTCCAGTGCCCTGGCAAGGACACTGTGATTGTATGTCATCAGGCTGCGTTCAGATCTTAGGCTGAACACAGGCTGAATATTTCGAAGTTGAGGTAGGTGGCAGTGGCTGTGATCTTTTGTCCATGTGTTCATATAAACAGAAATGTCAATTGAACAAGGAATCTGCTTAGTATAGGACTTCCCCTTTTCAGTATCAACCTAGCATATTCCAGTGATGTGTTTTTTTCTGCAAAATTTTGATCTGTAATTTTTTCTAATGGATTAGGATAATTTTTATCAGATAATTTTCTGATGCCCAAGACAGGAGCTAATTTAGGATGTTTATTTTTCTTATACTGTATTTAGTAAAATGAAGTTTGCCAGATATTGAATTTACAATTGACACCTGTGCATTACTGCTAATAAACATATGAAATAGAATTTCTTTCTGTAGAAAAATAAAGCACTGTAAAAATGCCTGCTCTAAATCACGGGACTATATTGAGGATTCAGTGCATTTGCACTAAAATCCAATAACGTCTAAAGATATGTAACTGATGTAGTGTTTAGTATCAAGAGCTTCTTGCATAATTTCAAATCACACTGCATGTGAAAAGTCTGGATTCCTGGAGACAAAGGTAAATGATAGTTCAGTAAGTTATGAATTGTAAGGTTAACTGGATTATAGGGAGAAATATGTGGTTAGTTAAATACATGTGGAAGACAAGATTTGGAAAGCACTCTTGTCATGTAAGTACATAAACTGTGTGGGGCAAGTTGTATATGATACTATATTCTGCCAGCACTTGAATGTGAGATTATCATATTATGTGATGCCTGCATATAAAGGTAAAGGGACCCCTGACCATTAGGTCCAGTCGTGGCCAACTCTGGGGTTGCGGCGCTCATCTCGCTTCACTGGCCGAGGGAGCCGGTGTACAGCTTCCGGGTCATGTGGCCAGCATGACTAATCCGCTTCTGGCGAACCAGAGCAGCGCACGGAAACGCCGTTTGCCTTCCCGCTGGAGCGGTACCTATTTATCTGCTTGCACTTTGATGTACTTTCGAACTGCTAGGTGGACAGGAGCAGGGACCAAGCAACGGGAGCTCACCCCGTCGCGGGGATTCGAACCGCCGACCTTCTGATCGGCAAGGCCACAGTGCCACCCGCGTCCCATCGATGCCTGCATATATTTAGATATAAATAAGAAAAAGTATTCTGGCCCCCTTAAAGAATAACATAATTATTATGGCATAAGCTTTCACAGACTACAGTCCACTTCATTAGATACATGAAATGTTAACCTGAGTTATAAGGGGGGACGCAGGGTTACGCATACCCCTAAACGTTTTGTGAATCTTTATACTTTTGTCCATTTACTCTATTTATTTTCCCCAGTTTGAACTATAAAATGGTGATTTTCTTGACTCAAAGTGAGAGTACCCCTAAACATTTTTTTAGGAGAAAAAAGCACTGGGTATAAACCTATACACATGGTTTGGGGAAGATTGTAAAATTGAAATCAGAAGGAAGACTTCAGAGGGAAATGAGTGCTGTGTACACACCTTCGCGTTTGCTTTGCATCCAGTGCACTCCCACCGCTGGTTTGTGAAGCACAACATTATACACAACCCACATCTACTCTGTAGTTTTCTGAGGAAATGCTTCAATTTGAGGTGTTTTCCCCTAAACCCCCTTTGATTAGATTTGAAAACTTATGACATGTGAAGACATCCACACCCCCACTGGTGTGTGTGGACAGACAGCAAACAACTTGGAAACATATCCAAGTGTACTGATGTTTACAACAATGTACAAATGTGATTTGAAACGCAACAGGGGAAAGGAAAATTGTGTTTTAAGTCAGTAATGGGTACACAGCAGAAACTCAGAAAAGTACTCTCCTGCAACTTACCTGCATCTGGTGAAGTGGCCTCTTGTCTACAAGAAGCTTATGCTATAAGGTTTTTGTTAGTTCCGCATGACTCTTTGTGGTTTTTGCTACAGAAGACTTACCAACAGCCATTCTTCAGGTCAAGATTTTATGTTATGTGTCATTTATCAATATATGCAGTGCTTTTTTCTGGGGGGGCTGCAGGGGGACGCATACCCCTAAACATTTTGTGAATCTAAGTTTGGCCTCATTGAGGGGCAGTATTTCAATATGAGTAGGAAAATGAAAGTAAAAAAACATTATTTTTTTAAAGGAAAAAAAGCCCTGGATATATGCATTAAACTTGTTGTGTTTGATCTGCTGCTTTCGCCCAGATTGTATTTTTGGAGAAGTACATTCCTAATTAGGGTGGGTACAAATGCAGAATTGTCCGTAAAAAATAACTTCCCTCAGTCCATTCCTGCCTGATTAGTACGTGCAGAGTACGGTATTTCAAAGCAAACTTCAGACAACCATGTTCATTCAACGGTAAATAAGGCATTGCAAAGTTTTAGGTCACTTTATTTCTTTAGCCACAGTGTCACATAAATTCTGAACTGCAAAACTGGTTTAAGAAGCCAAGACAGATTCAGTTGATGACACTTGAGAGAAGGATGGAGTAAGCAAGTGGACACAGGGTTCATTCCTAGTTCAACAAATGGGTCTCTTGGGCCAGGATAGCTGCATTCAATACAAGCTTAATATATACAGTAATAGGCAATTAGGTCCAATATTTTTCTTTTCCATAGCATCTTCTTCTTCTTGTTTCTGCTTCCTGATCCCAGTGGAGCCTGGCTGACTGCTCATATTTAAAAACTCAATCCCTATCACATCTCCAACATCTTCCACCAAGGAAAAAAAGGCGGAAATGGGTGGGAAGAAACACTTTGAAACATAAATATTTGTGTGCCTGGTCAGACTGAATAGCTTAATTTTTGAATGCCATTAAATGTGTACTTGAAGTCCATATAATTTCTTCTTCTTTACATTGGGTATTCATTATATTCTAACTGGTGGCTTTTGATTTCTGAGAAACTGTTGACATGATATTAATCCAGTTTGCCTTGCATCTGTTTTATTTTGGAAAGCTTTTTTCTTGCACTCTGCTGGTGGCATAAATGGAACAGTTAAATGGAAGACCAAACACGTCATCAGTTATGTTAGCAGCAGCATAAAGGCTGCTGAGAAGAATGGTGAGTTTAGGTTGAAAAATATTTGGGATTAATCCACCTCCCCTTGGTATATTAGATTTGATGTATTAGTGGTGTGTATTTCACTAATAACATGATGTGGAAATAAATGGCAATTATATAATCTTCTAATCTTCTAAGCTTTAAGAAGTCCTCCTTCTAATCTTTCGTTTTCAACTAAATTTTCAGTTATACTTTGTGGATTCCTTTGCCCAAAATAATGGTTCTGGATAAAATATTGTGAATTTCTTGTTGTTGGTGTCTACTTAAAACACATCTGCAATCTGCTGAGTGCAATAATAATCTCTTTATCATAATAAATGTGTCATTTTTATTACTTGTTTGTAGCAATTGGCATAATTTATTGTGCACGGTTTTTAAAATGTCAGGACGGCTTGGAGAAAAGAGGTAGCTAAATACTTCCATTTAATGCGAAATTGTCACATCAAGTTTTTGTTTGTTTTTTGCTTTTTTAGGTGCCTAAGAGTATTTTTAATTTTATTTATTTGAAACATTAAATACAATAATGTGAAAACCCAAGCTTTCTTTTTCATAGTCAAGGCAGCAGCAAACCAAGATAAAACAATACCAAATATATATGTACGAAAACAATCCATTTTTTTAAAAAATAACCCAAGAATTACAGAACCAGTAGCAGGAATTCAGACTTGTTTGAGTATTCATCCTGATTTGTTTGCACAAAGTTTTCAGTGAGATTATAAGACATCCATTGATGGTTTAGCGTTTATTTGCTTTGTTTTAGGGTGGTTATGCGATGGTGCATCAATTAGTTGTTGCGCCTACCAAGGGCCATGGGTGGGCAGGGGTGCCGTGCAGTCACTCCAGGGGCATTGGTGGCAAAAGCTGGATGCAGGCTCTGCTCACCCTCCAGGCCCCTCTCTCCAGGGTGCGCACACCACCCCAGGGTGCATGGACGCCTGTCCCAGGCACCAGCAGTACATGATAAGCCACTGCCCCCAGAACCCAGTAAACAAGGCAGAGCCCTTAAAGCTCTTTCTAGGCTGGAAAAACCCTGTGCAAAAAGAGCTTAACACCAAACTCAACCAGCCGGATTTCAAGCGCATAAAGTCAGAATCTTACAAGCTAAGCACATGTGTAAGTTGCATGACTTGTGGCCAAGGCAAAGAAAAAGTAAGCATTTGCTACACAAATGTTACAAGAAAAGCACCATGAGAGTTAGTGACTTTTGACATCTTTGAAGGGTTATACATAGTAGTTATATCAAATGATGCGCGGCAATTTGGCATTGTATTCCTTTTTTAATTTTGTTATGAGTGGGATGAGAATCGGTTCTGGTGGTTTCCCCAGTCAAAACTCTCTTAACAGGTGGCAGGCCTCTTATCTCTCGGCTTTTAGTGGAAGTCTGAATATAGCATGTGACTGAATCAGTCAAGGGTTTCCTCTTGCACCTGTGCCCACTTAGTAGCATATTAGACTGCTGGCTGTTGAAGTGGAGCAGCATTGAAATATATGGCACAGTAGGAGATGCAACATCTGGCCAATAACAGCTTGGGGAGTATCACACCAGCAAAAGTCCATAGACAAATGTGGCAATATTGTATTTGTGAACAGGTACTGTGAAGGACAGTGAGTGTCCTCAAAGAATTGGGAAGAGTGTATATTTGCACTGATAGATAGATAGATAGATAGATAGATAGATACCCAAGTGGAGAAGCAGGGATCTCACGAAGGTGCATCTAGTCCAGCATTCTGTTCTCACAGTTGTCAACCAGATGACCATGGATAGCCTACAAGCAGGGCATGAGGAGGACAATAGTTCTTTCCAGCTGTTGTTATCCAGTGACTGGCATTCAAAGGCATGTTGCCTATGATCCTGGTGGTAGTACATACCCAACGTGTTAAGTAGCAATTGATAGCCTTGGCCGCCATGGGTCCACCAAATCCTCCCCCCTCCCCACCAGACATCTAAGCTGGTGGCCCTTGCTACATACTGTGGTAGTGATTTTCACAGTACAGTGGTACCTTGGTTCTCGAACGGCTTGGCTCCCAAACAAATTGGCTCCCGAATGCTGCAAACCTGGAAGTAAGTGTTCTGGTTTGTGAATGTTTTTCGGAAGCCGAACGGCCGACACAGCTTCCGCTTGAGTGCAGGAAGCTTCTGCAGCCCATCAGAAGCCGTGCCTTGGTTTTTGAACCAAAGTACCACTGTGTAACTCTGTGCAGTGTGGAGAAGTACTTCCTTTTATCTGCTCTAAATCTTCCAAAATTGAGCTTCATTGGATGACCTTGGGTTCTAGAATTATAATCTGTTAACTAAAGGGCACGAGCCCCTTTTTGGGATACATTTGGGATTTATTTTTATTTATTTTTATTACTTCCCTTGCATATGCACCAGTGGATGTTTGATCAGAGGAAGGTCTACACTGCAAGATGGTCTGATAAGCCTGCAGATTGCCCATGTCTGTTTGCTGTTCTGTTTCAGACCTTGTGGCCATCCTGTTCTGGAGAGGTTTCTGCTGCTCTGGTTGCAGAAGTGAAGGGTTACTCCAGCTGGAAGCTAGAAGGCATTGCGAACTTCATTCCATTTGTGCCGCTCCAGAGCTCTGCTCCAGCAGGAGGAGAAACAGCTGATTCAAAGAGTTTGCTTGCTAGAAGTGAGAAATGCCACAGTTGTAGTGAGGCCTTCATTTCCCAGTGCTAGCTAAGGTCTCCTTGCTACAGTTTTACGAAGGGAGTATTGGGGCTAATCTATTCTATCAAGTGATATGGGACAATTCAGTGATGCTTCTTGATAGGTGCGCACAAATGCTGGTAAAATGTTCACAGTCAATGTATCGGCATGTCAAAGGGCTGAACTGTCTCCAGCATGCCCAAATTGCATCATATGATTCATTTAAAACATTCTGCAATTTAATCGCTTGACACGATCACAGAAAGGCCCGACTGTCTTTTTCTCTTTTGCATTTAAAACTGAATTTTCATTTTGATGAGGATGACGGGGTAGCCTAAGGTTTGCTGAATGATCAACATGACCTAGATGGTTAGAAATCTCCCTAACTATTGGTGCCACTTTTGTTGATACACCAAACAGCAAAGAATTCTGTGTTACAGTGGGTATGGAATATTAAATAGGAACCCACATTCCCCCTGGAAAAAAATCTGAGCTTCATATTCAATGAATAATGAACATTACTGAATTTAGACATCACACATTCTCTCTTGAGCCCAATCAGTGTATGCATTTATTCAGTGAAAGGATAACTGGAGAAGTTCAGTTGTGTGTCTCCTAAGGACACAAAGAATAGGAAATATGTATTTTCCAGATAGGAAAGACTTGTTGAAAGTGATAACCTAATTGTAATAGTAGTTGTGAATGCTACTTGTGCCACTTGGCAGCAGCTTTCAGTGATGAACTTTCAGAAGCCCTTGCCCTCCTCCATTATTATGAGAAAATCAGTAGCTCTAAAATATGAGATCTATCAGCCTTATTTATACAAAGACAAGCAAAACATTGAAGTCAAGTGTGTCGAGTATTGATATAAGCACAGATCGTAGGCATTCCAAGTCATTACTGTGACCTGAATAAAGTACCCACTAAAATATAATGTATTTATATTTGTATCTGAATTAGTTTTTTAATCATCTGTGATTGTATATTTTTTTTACACCCTGGGCCCTTTCCCCCTTGAGGTGCATGTAAATACATTAAGATTAAGATTCCCAAGGTGTGTTACAGTATGAAATGATAAAAAACTATAGAGTCTCAGAAGACTAAAACCACAAACTCAGATGAAACATCACAATTAAAACCAGCATATGCAAAATTTGAAGGTGTCTTAAAACTCTTCCAGGCAGTCCCATCATTTAACAGTAAACATCAAACTGCTGCAGAAGGCCTGAGCGAAGGGGTATGTTTTTAGTTGGCGCCAAAAGTTAAACAAAAGTTGGCACTAACCAGCTTAGAGAGAAGGATGTTCCTTTTTTAAAAAAAACAACCACCAAGCATCTCATTTTGCATTTACAGATTCATTTATGTAAAACTACACAGACACAGCTCTATGTGTGTTTTCTGCTGCCTGATTGATGCCCATATGAAAAGAGATCCCATATCTTGCTCCCTCTTCTGCTCTTCCGACAAATGCATAAAATATTATTAAAAGGATTCTAGTTAATAATATTTTAAGATGTATATAGCTAAATGATGGTATGACACAGTTAAGGATGTAATGGAAATAGCAGGAATGGACCTTTTAACTAAAGAGACCATCCCATTTGGACTATTAAGGTGCATGGGTGTAGACGGAGGGGGGGGCAGGGGGCAGCTGGGCCAATTCGCCAGCGGCAGGAACTGTGCCTACACATGCAAAGTCTGCATGTCACACTTAAACCATAGTTAAACTATGGTTCAATGTAAACACACAACATGCTGGTGCACCTTGCTGAAAAATTCCTGCTCCGTACCTACAGCTGCTGTGTTGCCAGAAGATAAGCCAAAGTCTGACTTGGTTGTGATGTGCAAACCCACACTTAGCATTTGTTTTCCCCAAACAAACCATGAGCAGTAAGCCAAGAACAAACCTTAGTTACCTGTTCATGGCTCGTTTGGAGAGAGAAACCATGACCCGGTGTTTGGACATCATGACAAACGAGACTTTATAATAATTTATATAATCATAATTTATTATTTCTACCCCGCCCATCTGGCTGGGTTTCCCCAGCCACTCCGGGCAGCTTTCAACAGAACATTTAAAACAGAATAAAACTTCAAACATTAAAAACTTCCCTAAACAGGGCTGCCTTCAGATGTCTTCTAAAAGTCGGATAGTTGTTTATTTCCTTGACATCTGATGGGAGGGTGTTCCACAGGGCGGGTGCCACTACTGAGAAGGCCCTCTGCCTGGTTCCCTGTAACCTCACTTCTCGCAGTGAGGGAACCACCAGAAGCCCCTTGGCGCTGGACCATTAGCGTGTTTCTTAGCCGTGCAACAGGAGCAGGGGAGATATGGAGCAAGAAATCATGGTGCAATTACATTAAACAATTGGTTGTTAAATACTGTTTACTGTGATGTGTGAACTAGGTCATTGAGAAAGTATTCCTCTATGGATGGAGAAGATAGCAACAATGGGGACCGACATAGAGCAAATAGATTATTTATAGCCATTCATTATAATACTGAAACGCCTTCCGTCACGCTTTTGTTTGTTATTTAATTTTAACTTCTTAACGCTGCTTTCCTAAGCATGGAAGTAATTCCTATTGGAATCGATAGGATTTGCTTTCAAGTAGACTGTAAGGCGATACCTGTTGTTCAACTTCTTTTTTATCAAAATATGCAAAAATAAAAACAAAACCCACCCCCCTCCACAATGCATAGTTAACTGATGCAAATTATAATTCCTGACAATACCCAAAAGGACAAAGCAGAATAATTGCTTCTTTGTCAGCGACATGCTAAATGGTTGGATTTTGATTGCTGCCTACGCATGCACAGGGGTTGTTAGCATACATAAGAAAGAAGAAGCATTGCTTTGCGTGTCTTCTGTCGTCCTCGTCCACTTCTTAACTTGTCATTAATAGGGATATCCTTTTCTGCTTCCCTTTTCCCAAAAATGACTTGCCGCGGCTTTGAACATGGTGGCATTTTGAATGTGTCCTACTACTTTTTCATTGCCTGTCTCTTCTCTCTGCTCCTCCTTTCCCAGTGTACACAATCCTCTCGAAGGTGCACTCCGATCATACGGTGTACCCTTCCGCTGGAGTTCTGTTTGTCCACGTCTTGGAGAGGGAGTATTTTAAAGGGGAGTTTCCTCCTTATCCAAAGCCTGGTAAGAAATGCTTACAGTTTTATAAATATGTATCAGAGTCATTAAATAACCCTAATTACTTCGCATTTGCAGAGAGAGAGAGAGAACACGCACTGGTGGAGCAGGCGGGTGTGCAAGGCAATCCTGTACATCAGGGGTGGGGAGTCCCACGCCTGGGACCAAATGCCACCTTCAACAGCCTCTCCTTTTCACTGTGGTCCTGGCACACAAACACCACCCCCGTCCTGCTGGAGCTGCTATTATTAGTCCCAAGAAAGCAGCTTCCATTGGCACCAGTGGAGACTTCCCTCCCAGACCTTGTAGGAGCATTTGGGCCATGCATATATCAGTTTTCATCAGCCGCATTACAAGGGAGGAAAGGGTTAAATCAGGTACCCCCAAACTCGGCCCTCCGGATGTTTTGGGACTACAACTCCCATCATCCTTAGCTAACAGGACCAGTGGTCAGGGATGATGGGAATCGTAGTCCCAAAACATCAGGAGGGCCAAGTTGGGGGTGCCTGGGTTAAATCTTTACCCCATTTGTGCTGCAGTCCCAGCAGAAATCCTCCACGCTTACTGTTTTTTGTTTGTTTGTTTTGTGTTTATTAAACAAACAGAGGTGATTGCAACTGTTGTGTTTCGCATTGCCTCTATTTTGGTCTGAAATTATAGTTTCTTTAATATAGCAATTAAAGAAACCTATTTCTTGAGTTCAGTGCTGTTTTTCTGCATTTTTAAAAATAAAAGAACAACAACAATGTAGGGCACAATCTGCAGCTGTAGACAGTCATCTGGCTTCCATGAAATAAAATTGGGACAATTTTAGTCCAGTTTAACAAAATACTTTAAATATATTTTGGCAGTTCTGTAAACGAAGAAAGTATGTGATTAATTATACTTGTTTTTCTTTTGCTTGGTATGTCATATGGCTCTCAAGCCAGCAGCAGAACAAACTCTTAACTGTACAACTCCCTTTAGATAAGCTGCAGTCTGCACTTACCTAGGAGAAGTGGATGGGAGATAATAGGCTGCAAATAGTAGAGTTGATATGCAGATATTTACTTCTGAGTAAATAGGCAGAGGAATGCACTGCACATCTCACTGAAATTTATGCAGATGTTTGCAGTCTCAGGAGCCAGGATTTCCATCATTTCCGGTTGTGGGTTAGTGCATCTTTACAGGTGTTTTTGAACTAAAATGCAGAACCTATCAGTTTGACTTACAGAGTGTAAATGCAGTATTGTGATTATTTCATAGCGGACTACCAAGAACAGGAATTATTGACAGCTTGCAGTTTCCTGCTTTGTCATTTGCATTGTATGAAAATACTGTGCTGTTCATTTGGTGACACTGCATTTTAAATTGGATGTCCTGTTTATCCAGGCGAGATGAACAATGATCCTATAACTTTTAACACAAACCTAATGGGTTACCCTGACAGACCTGGTTGGCTACGATACATCCAGAGAACACCCTACAGCGATGGAGTGTTGTATGGGTCACCGACAATAGACAGTGTGGGAAGACCATCTGTCATTGAGGTAGGTTTGCTGCAAAATATTTTATCTAGACCCTGTCTCAAACATCTAGGCACATAACATGTTGTCATGGGTAATTACAACACCCTTTGCTCATAATTAAAAAAACACACCCTGATCTCCAAATAATTTTTTATAAAAAAATTCAAACATCCAATCTCATTGTTTTCATGTCTTTCTTCTGCCAGCTTGCTTCATATATTTGGTGAATTAAGCTGATTATGAAATCTAATGCCACAATAAACCATTGATTTCAAAGCGTCACAGCACTCGGCCTTCGGGCAGCCTGAAAGAGATCCCAGGATTTTATGACCTGGCCGTGACCCTGTACCAGTCCTTAATCCCATCCCTTTTTTTGAGTGTTCAACAGCACAGGGCCAGGGAGTGGGACCTGCTGAGTAGCCACACTCTGACATTGCATTCCTCCTCTGATATCTGCACATACAGCACAAGCAGGTGTTGGAAGGAGATCATCATGCATATGCCATATTGGCCTGAATATAAGCCTCACTCTCCCCCCCCCCCAATTCCGACCGTGAAATGTTAAAGTGTGGCTTAAATTTGCAACCTTACAAAAATTGGCTTTTATGATATCGCTGCTGAAGCGGACATACGGTGAAACGGAACGGATGTGAGTGCCTGCCTAACTTTAAGGGAGCAGCTTACATTCGGGTATTGTCCTTTTCCTCCTCCCCCCCACCTTGAATTTTAAAGGTGTGGCTTATATTTGGGCCAATACGGTAATCAGTGCTTTTTATTTCAGAAAAAAGGTTTAGGAGTACTCTCATTTCCTTACTCATAATCAAATACTGCCCCTCAATGAGGCCAAACTTAGATTCACAAAATGTTTAGGGGTAAGCGTACCCCCAGAAAAAAAAAATCACTGCATATAATTGTACACAAGAAGGCTCCCTTGGAACAACTATGCATGTGAAAGCCATCTCCCTGTAGAATATTTGCTCTGTACGCAAGGACTTTGGAGAAGAGCCCATGATGCCAGAGTGGAGCTCCTTTGCGTGTCCTTGCACCTTCTGTGTTTTTGACCAAAGGAGCTAAGAAGGCCCAGATAAGGCTGCAGAGTTCACCTTTTATTAGAGGGAGTGTGTGGTTGGCACCTGGAATTGCAAACTTTTGCACAAGGTAGGCAGAGCTATAGAAATGTGGTCCTGTATGTAAAATATGTTCTCATATTGAGAACAAGGGACAGCAGCTGCATTTAGATATGTAATTGTACGTGTAACCCATTGAAAAGAATGAACAGCATATCAAGTTGAAAGCAATGGAGAGGATCTACGTGTAGGTGTACTCTACATCTGATTTATGCTAGCAGTTTGTAAAAACAAGGGTAGCTGGAAATTTACAGCATGAACCTAGATATGTCCCATCCTAGAAGTTAAGTCCTATAGAGTTAGGTGGGGCTTACGCCCAGGGAAGTGGGGATAGGATTACATCTTTAGTGATGTTTCTATGGGTTTCTGAGACCAAGTGAAAAACTTAGAAAGCTCCATAGAAATGAAACGACAAATGTCACCCATTCCTAGGGACAATCATCCACCTTCTAGATCAGTCGTTTCCTACCTTGGGTCCACAGATGTTGTTAGACTACAACACCCACCTACCCCCGCATCCCTAGTCAGCATGGTCAGTGGTCAAGGATGATGGGAGTTGTAGTCCAACAATATTGGGCGCTTAAGGCTATTGCATGTATTCTCTGCACCTTCGTGACACGTAAGGAACCCTGTAAGTTCAGTCCATCTATTTACAGCAGTGGTCTGCTGGGTGCATCTGGAGTGCAACAACCCATTATCGACATGGATGTGCTCCTTAAAATCTTTGGTAGTGAAATGGAATCTTGGAAGTCTTCTAATTCTGCCCCAGTTTACTGGCAAAACTTGACTGACTGGCTCAGAATAAGGTTGGGCATGTTGGTTTGTTTTGTATATTTCTAGGTCACTTTTCTAGGGATGCGGGTGGCGCTGTGGGTAAAAGCCTCAGCGCCTAGGGCTTGCCGATCGAAAGGTCGGCGGTTCGAATCCCCACGGCGGGGTGCGCTCCCGTTGTTCGGTCCCAGCGCCTGCCAACCTAGCAGTTTGAAAGCACCCCCGGGTGCAAGTAGATAAATAGGGACCGCTTACTGGCGGGAAGGTAAACGGCGTTTCCGTGTGCGGCTCTGGCTCGCCAGAGCAGCGATGTCACGCTGGCCACGTGACCCGGAAGTGTCTCTGGACAGCGCTGGCCCCCGGCCTCTTGAGTGAGATGGGCGCACAACCCTAGAGTCTGTCAAGACTGGCCCGTACGGGCAGGGGTACCTTTACCTTTACCTTTAGGTCACTTTTTAGGGCAAAGCCTTCCCTAGGTGCCGTAACATGAAAACAACTGCATAATTCAGCAGAGGTCCCTAACCTTTTTGGCTCTGGGGGCACATTTGGAAGTCTAAGAAACTGATGCGGGTATCACAAAATAGTCATTTCTCAGAAGAAAATCCAGCAATGCTCAGAACAGTCCCCCCCAAGTCCATGCAAAATATATTCACCCTCCAAAAACAAATAACATATAGACAACAACAACAACGTATAGACAAGAAAAGCAGGCAACACCCTGAACCAAACCACCAAAAACCAAAACTAATAATAAGCATTCCAGAAGAAATGTTTTAAATTCTGGACATTGTAGATTTGTCTCAGTCTGGTGCATGTAATGTCTTTCATTTTGTAGTTGCGTGATTTGTGCTTATATATTGGATTGTGATGGCCATTGGCTAGAAGCAATAAAAATCTACTGACTAATTTAAAAAAAGCAAAACAAAAATGGGAAGGGCAGGGAGCCTTAGTAAGTGGCAGAAGTGTTTGAGGGTCCTGTGGCCCCCATGGGCACCACTCTTGGGATGCCAGGAACACAGTGTCCATGTTTCAGTAAAAGGAATATTGTAATGTAGCACCCTAAAACAATTCACAGGCCTGCAATACAGTGTTACAAATGTAACTAAAAGCAATTAAAAACATTCAAGTTACCAACAATAGAAACACATTAAGAAGTTGCCAAAAACAAGTGGGGTTTTTTGGAGCCCATTTTAAAGCTTGTTCTGATGAGGCCTTATGCAAATCACTTTGGAGGGGATAGATAACATAACCAAGGGGCTTTCTCTTGGAAGGCCCTGTCTCTCATAGCTGCTTGTCTGATTGATTTTACAGGTGGGCCTATGAGCCTTCTCACTGGTTTTTGTCCATTTGCTGCTATTTGGCTAGCTCTCACATAATGTGTGCTCCCCCCCCTTTTTTTTGAGGTATAATGTGTTTTCCCTTCTCCCCTTTTGTCCTTCCACAAGAAGCTTGAGGGGCCCAACCACTGCCCAGGTTTCTCCCCATCTAACACTGGCTTTTCACAGCATTGTTGAATACCCATATATAGAATTGTCAGGCTAGATGCAAGTTTTTCGTGCTCAACTGATAATAGTTTTTGGAAATATAGTAACAAGTTTCTGGTTTATGTTTCTTCTTTATTAGATCACTGCTTATAACAGGCGCACCTTTGAGACGGCCAGACATAATTTGATTATTAATATAATGGCAGCAGAAGGTAAGCGTTTTAGATTGCAGTGATACATAGTATTACATCATTAGGAGATTATTATAGAATGAATAAATGGCAAAAGGATAGGAAAGAGGTATGCTAAGCCTCTTTAGTTAATTGTATTTTATTTTGTTATTTCCAAGCCACCTCTGTTGGAGAACTCTCCTTCATTCTATTATAAATATTTTGAAATGTTTGTATTTATATTTTTAAAAGAGTGTGTACTTGAAAAGTGCATCTGGTCTGTTACTGTGGATTGCAGGGAGAGCCAAGTGGTGGCTTAGGAGCCTCACTCAGCTTCTAGGAAATTTTAGATATCGGAATGACATAGTAGCTCAGTTCACACGTTGTGAGCCATTTATGCCCAGACTTAAGTCCTCATTCCCTTACTTTTCAACCCCTTACTTTTCTTAGAGTGATCATCACCATGGCTTGCCTCAAGTCAGAACGAGAAACCATAGTGTGAATGATGCAAATTTCTGATCTCAGTTTGTAGGCAAACTATGGTTTGTGCAAACCAGGAAGCGAGGGAGAGAACTGCAGTCCATAAGGCAGGGCAACAAGAAACTACATGAGTCTTAGGTGCTGACATGATCAGCCTCGGGATGGGCAAATCCTCCAATTTCCATTTCTCATTTTTTCATTCTTAAGTTCAGTTCTCCACTTTCCCACATCAGTTTGTGGTCTATTTCTTTTTTAAAGTCCTTAGGAAAATTCATCAGTGTATTAGGGCATTCCCCCTGCCCCATATACCCATTTTTGAAAAGCAATTTCCCCTAATATAATGCAATTTTGTATGCTATTTTCATGCACACTTTACCTTAGTATGTGCAGTTGTGTACACATCCCTAGTCTGGATAACTGCACTGCAAAATTTGGAGAAATGTGAATTTCAAAGGATGGCTGTGTTGTGTGTGTGTGTGTGTGTGTGTGTGTGTGTGTGTGTGATTAAGTAGGTGCTCCTTTAAATTGAGCTTCTCCCCCATCCTTCAAGCAACCAAATTCAAGCCAGTGGTTCAGTACAGAGATCGTGCAACCAGCAGTCTTGTAACTGTGGTTAAGAGGCTGGATGTCTCTAGAGCATTTGTGGAAGTTGCTTTGCAAGCCTTAGATTTATAAAGGATCTTGGAATGCTTCACACTCGGTTATATTTAGAAAATGATAGTGCTGTATTTCTGATTTATTATTCTGCCTTCTTTGTAATTTTGTAAAAAGACAAAATTAATGTTCTCTTTGCAATTAGATTTTCCTTTACCATATCAAGCAGAGTTCTTCATTAAAAATATGAATGTAGAGGAAATGTTGGCAAGTGAGGTTCTTGGAGACTTCCTTGGAGCGGTGAAAAACGTTTGGCAGCCGGAGAAACTGAATGCCATAAACATCACCTCAGCTCTTGATAGGGGAGGCAGAGTCCCACTTCCTATTAATAACATGAAAGAAGGGTAAGCAAGTTTTCATTATATTTCTTCTAGCATTCCAGATATTTTAGAATGTAGCTTGCAACAAAAGCAGTAAAGAATCTTAAAGCAGGGGTTGCCATTCTTTCTGGGCTAGTGAACGTATTTGGAATTTTGAGCAAGTGCCATTCAGGCAAGTCACAAAATGGCTGCTGTGTGGGTTTGTGGCATAACACTAAATGGCGGCTGTCAGGGGGGCATCACATCTGGGTTAATGGGCTTGCGTACAGATTTTTTTTTTTGGAAAGCAAATAATAGAAATGAGCGCTACACTTCTGTTAGGTTCTGCTGGTTTTCCAGAACAGGCTTTTATCAGGTAAGAAAATGCCAGGAAAACTGAACAGAGTGCTTCCTGAATTCAGCCAAGATAATATCTGCTTCCTTGCAATTTCCACTCATTGATTCTAGTCCTATGAGCCAATGCTCATAGGACTCGGTTTCCAGACCCAGTAAAGGTAAAAGGTAAAGGACCCCTGGATGGTTAAGTCCAGCCAAAAGCAACTATGGGTTACAGCGCTCATCTTGCTTCAGGCTGAGGGAGCTGGTGTTTGTCCACAGACAGCTTTCCGGGCAATGTGGCCAGCAGGACTAAACCGCTTCTGGTGCAATGGGACACCATGACGGAAGCCAGAGCGCACAGAAACGCCGCTTACCTTCCTACCACAGTGGTACCTATTTATCTACTTGCACTGGTGTTCTTTCGAACTGCTAGGTTGGCAGGAGCTGGGACAGAGCAACCGGAGCTCACACTTTCGTGGGGATTTAAACTGCCGACCTTCCTATTGGCAAGCCCAAGAGGCTCAGTGGTTTAGACCTCAGCGCCACCCTAATCCAGACCCTGTACTTGTGATGTGGCCTGGCTAGCACAGAATGAAGTGGGATTATTATGTCTCATAATTTAGAGATGATGCTTCTGGTAAGGTAGCTGAAGATTGCGTTATATTTTTAAGCAGCCACATAGCACTGCTGGCTCATATTCAGCTTGTGATCAAACGAGATCCTTTCTACTCAGCTGCTGCAAAGCCAGGTTCTGCTTGCCCCCACCCAGTCCCAGCCTTTCTTTGGAGTTTTGGGATTTTTGGGGGGGGGGGTTTGTACCTAAATACAGAACTACATGCTTATCTCGGTCAAATTTTAACCTGCGGGGTTGGGTCCAATATCTCAGTCTGCCATTGCTCCCAAGTGCATGGTTTGTGAAGGGTGCAGCTATACCACACTGTGGCTTAATGCAGAGTTGAGGCTGATGAAACTGGCTAGGAAATGGTCAGTGCACTAGAAGTGCTTCAGACAGAAGATAGACTCTGCCATGGCAGTGGGGAATTTGCTACCATTGCATCCTCTCAGTGCCATCCAGAGAGCTTTTCCTAGTAACAAAGATACCTTTTCAGCCTTGTCCCCTTCCCTGCATTGAGGATCACTGCAGTTGCCCAGTGTTTGCTTTGCTTGGTGGGCTCTGCAGGCAAAGTTGCTCACATGCAATCTAATCTGACTGAGACTCTGCTAGTTCTGTGGTTTCTCAGAAGGGGGGTGGACTCGGTGCCCTCTGGTGGTCAAGTTTTATTCAGCCATGAAGATATAAACAGGATCCTTTGAACATTTTGCTAAGCAAGGGGTCGCTTGTTGATCTTGCCTGGTTAAGCTTAATAAGGGTTTTGCCCATTGCTTATTGCCTTTTCAAAAGGCACCCTTTTACAAGGTGTAATGTCTCTGTATTGAAGGAGCCCGTGCTATGTCTGATTTTGAAGTCCTGTTTGGGTTCACTGAATCTAAATATATACAGATTTATTTCCCATATTTCATTTGTGGACAAGGTGTTTTGAGAGGGCAGTGATGTAGAACCCCAGATTATCCTGGATAAACTGAATTTTGGTACTGTACTGGATCCAGTCTTTGGTGACGCATTCAGAGAATCATAAAGCACATGCTGTAGTTTGCTGCCAGCTTTCATGTTGTCTGCTTTTGAACCGTGCATAATCTGCAAATGAACTGTGCAATAGAGAGCCAAGTGGAAACAGTGAGCAGCTCTTTCCATTCACGGACATTTGGATCTAACCCACTGATTGAAAATTTATCTGTGACCATCCTAAAACTGTCAACATTTCTTTGCAGTGTCTATGTTATGGTTGGTGCAGATGCTACATTCTCCTCCTGCTTACGGGAAGTTGAAAACCCACAAAATCAGCTGAGATGCAGTCAAGAAATGGAGCCTGTAATAACCTGTGATAAAAAGTTCCGTACCCAATTTCAAATAGACTGGTGTAAAATCTCCTTGGTGAGTTGCTGGCTGGCAGTATTGCAGAACACACATAGCCAATTAGTCTTTAAAATAATCGTCTGGAGGGCAGATTATGTAGATTTCTTTTTAACCTTCCGAGGTTCATGGGATGGACATGAGCTGATGCTCTGGAATGCCCTCCCTAGAGAAGCCCATTTGCCCGTCACTAAATGCTGTCCAGCACCTGAAGAAAACCTAGTTTGTTAAACCAGAGATGGGGAACGTGGTACCCTCAAGATGTTGTGGGAGTCCAACTCCCATCAGCCCCAGCCAGGATTGCCAGTGGATCAGGATGATAAAAGTTGTAGCCCAACAACTTTTAGAGGGTCACAACTTAGCCATCCCTGTTTAAGAGTACCCATTGGGGAATATGAACTATCATCTGGCGGTAAAGGGTAAAGGGACCCCTGACCATTAAGTCCAGTCATGACCGACTCTGGGGTTGCGGCGCTCATCTCGCTTTACTGGCCGAGGGAGCCAGCGTACAGCTTCTGGGTCATGTGGCCAGCATGACTAAGCCGCTTCTGGTGAACCAGAGCAGTGCATGGAAACACCGTTGACCTTCCCGCCAGAGTGGTACCTATTTATCTACCTGCACTTTGATGCGCTTTCGAACGGCTAGGTTGGCAGGAGCAGGGACTGAGCAATGGGAGCTCACCCCGTCGTGGGGATTCGAACCACCGACCTTCTGATTGGCAAGTCCTAGGCTCTGTGGTTTAACCCACAGTGCCACCCGCGTCCTGTTCAGCTGTCAGTACAGTGAACTAAATGGACCAACTTAGGAACATAGCTCAGTTGGTTAGAGCATGGTTGGTGCTGATAATGCCAAGGTGGCAGGTTCAGTCCTCATATGGGACAGGTGCATATTCTTGCATTGCAGGGGGTTGGACTAGATGATCCTCAGGGTTCCTTCCAGCTCTATGATTCCATAATAGAAAGAAGCCTTATACTATAAAAGAATTATTCTACTTGTCATTGCTGAAAAATTATCGAGTTAAGGTATAACTAGTTAGTAACTCTTCAAACTATGGCACTTGCTCTGTAAGCCTTGCTCAAGGAGATACTTTCCTCAAAGCACAGAATCCTAAGTGTTCACAGTCCCATTGATTTCAATTGGATTTATTCCCCAGTAAATATGCAAATATTTCATATATTGTTGGGACTCCCAGCTCCCATCAGCTAATCAACAGGGCTAATGGTCAAAGACTAGCAGAGTTGCGACCCTCCAGATATTCTTAGGAGTTCCCCATCCAAGCAGTAAAGCAACCATTCAATGCTAAGTAAACCTCTAGCAGTGGTTTTTCTGTCATCTCATCTTCTGTCGATCAATGACTGCTTGATTGTTTACTTAAAACTATATACAGTATATCCTGGCTTTTCTGCCTAAGGAGATCAGGAGTACAGTAAAAAAACAACAAGACATGACTCATTGCTGCCGAAACGCCAAGAAGGGCTCAATGGCCTGATTATTGTTGCTATTTTTAACTGGTGTCTTAAACACAACCATACAAATCTCCTGTGCGAAGAAATTCCAGAAGTGAAGAGGGAGCCACCACAGAGAAGGCCCTCTAATGACTTGTCCTCTTATGAATTCCTGAAGATCCAGCAAGAAGGGTCTCTGCGGAAGGTCTCAGTTCTCAGGCAGGGTTCTCTAGCTAATGCATGATGTACTTTGAACAGAAAGTGAAGAAAGTGTCTTGATTTTTACAACCAGATTTCTTTACAGACAATGTGTGGTACAAATTTTCCTTAAAAAAGAAATTATGATTCTGGAGGGCTGTTGCTTAAACTCTGCTTAATGAATGCTCAGTGGTACTGTTTGATGGTTTATGATCCCCATTTTTTCTCCCAAGGTTTTACTGTCTAAAATATATTTTGTCTGTTTGGTATCAGGTTGACAAAACACAGCACGTTTCCACCTATCAAGAAGTGGTCCGCGGAGAAGGGATCTTACCAGATGGTGGCGAGTATAAGCCACCTTCTGAAAGCCTGAAAAGCCGAGACTATTATTCAGACTTCCTCATTACGTTGGCAGTGCCCTCCGCAATAGCCCTGGTGCTTTTTCTAATACTTGCTTATATTATGTGCTGCCGAAGGGAAGGCGTGTGAGTACTTTGAAACATTAATAAGTATTTTATAATTGTGTGAGTTTATAAGGTACATGACAAAAAAAAACAGTAGATGAACTTGATTCAGTTCATAAAAACACAGTCCGTTTTTAGCCTTTTCTAAAACATACAATAAAATCAAATTACAGCTACTTGTTAACTTTGGAATTAGAAATTTTATTTATTTTTAAAAATTCAAAAACTGAGCAACCCGTTCACAAAACTATTTAACCTGACAGTAATTTGAAGCTAATTAAAGGTAAACATAGTGTCTAACAATTAAAATAAACCTTATTAAGATTGTGAACTGAATTTAGGATTATAAAAGCCAAAAGCATTTTTTGAAAAAATAAAAGCAGCAAGCAACACAATTTCTTCCATTTTACATGCACCTGTTCTGGGAACATTTTAGTCCTGCACCTGTCCTTTTAACGTGCATCTTCACTTCTCTGTGTACATGTCTTTCATCTATCTCATCTCTTTATGTGCTTTCTTCATCCATGCCTTCTCATAAACCCTGTGGCAAATGCTTCCAAGTTGCACCAAATGGTCATGATCCAAACGAATGTGCAGAAACAGGAACTTGATGTGCAGCCAACTCTTTCTTTGAACGTTTGGCCATTGCTCCTCTCACTGCTGAAGAGGCAACCCTCCAAAATGCAGCTTGCCTCTTCGGCTATTAGAGCTGCAGAAACAAATCTCCAAAGGCAACTCCAGTTGCATGTATAGCTCTCATCTGCACACACCTGCATATTCTTGAGATCATGATCCATTGCAACAGGACCAGCATTTCCATACCATGACTTATTTCCATCGGCAGTTAGATTTAATGTTCCAAATATCAATGCTATTATTTAATTCATAACTTTTGTTTTATTTTTAGGGAAAAGAGAAACATGCAAACACCAGAGTAAGTGTCTTCTTTCCTGTTATTTTCTCCCATCACTTAATTTTCATTTCCCAGTAGCTTCTCATGCTTCATACATGTATACCATCCTCATTCTCCTTAACTTGTTCTTCATCTTTGTGGTGGCTGCTTTGAAAAATATAGAATTTGAGAAACTGAGTAGGTCAAAATAAAAAGGGTTTAAAAGCTCATAAGAAAAGAGGCCAGAATCAGAATATGATTATTCAACTTCTGTCAACTTCTATAAGGTAACCAAAAAATTATACTCCATAAAACTGCTTTTTAAAGTGAGGCTTCTATTCATAATTGTTAGCTAACCACAAGAAGCCGAGCTCTAAAACATACCAAATAAAAAGCATTAGCATTCGCACTTGGTTACACGGAACAGAGTGCTGAAAAGCTCATCATACTTTAGAACAGGAGCGGTCCAATGTTGACAGGTGGGCGGGACCACCCACTTGTCAATCACCTAACAGCTGATCAGAGGTTGGAGCAACCTTTGAAGATGTACTTGCTGGAACCAACCAGCAGCTGATTGGCAGCTCCCTGAAAGGCGAGCTCCACTACTGCAACCGTGATCCTAAGGAGGTGCCTTCTTGGGGCTGAATAGGCCCTCTCAGAGGTCCAGAGTCCCAGGCCGCTTCCCGCTTTTGAAATCCCTAGCTTTAATAAAAATTAAAATGACAACACCCAAAACCAAAATAAGGTACAAAAAATACACAGGGCAAGAATCTGAGCTTGAGGCCAAATCGGCCTCCTGCCCTTCGCCCACCCCACTGGGCCTGGTGCTGATCGGCTGTCAGTGGCGTGATTTATGGGACCCATGTTGGGCCTAATGAGGCCTGTGGGCTGGACTCTCAGTGGACCATTTCATAGATCCACCCAACCTTCAGCACCAGCATCATAATCAAAGTCAGTGACACCTTGTGAAGATCACAGGCCCTAGGACAAACCCTTGTTACTCTACTCATTAAATCCAGCCCTAATCAAAAGGGCCTAACAGTAGTGGGTTGAGAACCCTCTGGTTGAGGGCACAGGTCAATGCAAGGCCAGTGGGCAACCAAGGCGTATCCCAGTGCAGCCAAGGTCAAAGAAGACATAATGTTGGAATGCCTGATTGAATCAAATACACCTTGTACCTTATTTGCTTCTAAATAACGGTCAGCTGCTTTCTCCATGGTCCCAATGAAAATTGGCGCCCCCTCCTTGAAGGTGCTGTTCTTCCTGGGAGAGAAGCTGGCATAGATACCAATGGAGGCTTCCCTCCTGAAGGGCAAAGCAGTTTCTAGAAACCACAGGAGTGGAGGCTGCTTTTCTTGAGGGTTTCTTGCTGGCATCTAAAAAAGACTACTGGTCTTAAATTCTTAAAGCATATGTTTGTGTGTGAGAGAGGGGTGTTATTGGGACCATGATGGTAGAAAAATGGGTTAACCATGTCTTTGGATAACAGGCCTGGTTCTGGTCTCCCCCTCCCTCAGCTGTTACTCAGAAGAAGAAATTAGGCACATTAATTGCAGTTATGCATCTATCTTGTGCCAAATATTCCTGCTGAAAGCACAGGGAAAACTTGGGTAGACTGGATATAACCTGCCAGTGCTCTGTGACCTAACCCCTCTAAAAGTAATTTCCTTTTTTTTTTTAATTCCAGTATATGTTATTTATAAACCTTGTCGTTTACACCGATGCTGTGGTAATCTATCAAGTGGCTTTAAATGTCTGTATATGTTTGTACTCTTTTATTTCCACAACGCTAGCAATTCTATTAAATATGGGGGGGGGGGAATGTTGTTTCCTTTTGATCTAGCATCCAGTTGGTCCACCACAGTGCCATTCAGAAATCCACCAAAGAACTTCGGGAGATGTCCAAAAACAGAGAGATAGCATGGCCTCTCTCAACGCTTCCTGTGTTTCACCCAGTCACTGGGGAGATTGTGCCACCGGTTCACCCCGACAGCTATGACAACACTAGCATGCCACTGATGCAAACACAGCAGTAAGTATCACTCTTGGTGCCGAACACTGTGAGTTTGAGTTTTGTGGTGCTTCTGCTGATTTCTTCCATGGTGGTGGTGCTGTTGCCATCTCATTCTATAGGATGATTTGGCTCTTGTGTTTCAATAGCAAAGCTCTGGTTACACATTCCAGTAGCAACCCTTTCCCTGAGCAGAAGCCTTGGAGGCTTTTACTGTTTAGAGTTCAAAATAGCATATAATCGTTTTAAAGAGGCATTATTATTATTATTATTATTATTATTATTATTATTATTATTATTATTATTATTATTATTATTATTATTATTTGTAGGAACCTGCCACATCAGACTCAGATTCCGCAGCAGCAAACGGAAGGTGACTTTTTAAACTATTTCTCGAAAAGGCAAAATATGACCTAGTTATCAAGTGCTCACAAACTCATCGCAGCGTTCTTGCTCCCTTCCGCATTTTGCGGGGGCCAGGTTTTCCAAAGTTAATAGCAGAGGGGTGGGAAATGAGGAGCAGGGTGTGAGAAAGCTTTGTATTGCAGAGGCCATAAGAGTAAGAATTAACAAAATTTAGACGGCATCTGTGAGATGCAGTAGTTGAAACGGAAAAGAGTGAACTGAAATCTCCAATCAATATCACTTCCATGGAAATGAATGGCAAACCTATCAATGGGTATCAGCTTGCCAGACAGAACAACCACCCTTGCCTTCCCTTCCCCCCCACATGCTGTTTTGCGGTTCTCCTGGCCCTCCCCAAGCCAGAGTTCACTAAAAGAATCCTGTCCTGCTTGAACCCCCCCCCCCCTTTTCTCATTTTTCCCTTGGGAAATGTGCTTCACACTGGCGGGGTTTAGTGCTATGAATGGGTCTAATTATTCCTTGCGCAGCCCAGTTATTCCTTAGTGGCTCCCAAGTCCCTCAACTCAAGTGAGCTGCATGGGATGAATATAAGTGTTTCTTCTGTCACAAATCTATAGAATTCTTGGTGGTTTGCATAACCATAAAATAAAACAGCGAAATCAAGGTTAATCAGAAAATCATTCAAACAGAGGATGGCAGTGAGTTTTGGGGAAACTTAGCATAAGTTTTTGTAGACTTGAGTCAATGCATCAAAGGCAATCTGTAGCTAACAACTTGAGCTGTCCATTCATGCATCTGATGGCCTCTTGGCTTCCGCGCCTTATGCTGCATATAGTATTTGTTAGTCTTTCAAGTACCACAAGGCCCCTTGTTGTTTTTGCTGCAGTGGGGAAAATATGAGCACACTTCTCAAGGTGTTGGGTGACCTGTACAGGAATCCACTTTGAGGGGGCTTGTTTTCAAAAGTTTTGTTTTTTATTACTGCTTTCGGGGACTAAAGGAGAATTTCGTATGACGACATTCCAAAGATTAGAGGCAAGTATTACATACAGTATTCTGCTCTCTCGCTGTCGAAAAACCAAATGATACAATGAAGCACATTTTACTATGAACTGTACATGTTGATTCTAGTTGATTGGTCACTCTCCCAAAAGATTAGGCACCCTAAGACTTGTATTGCAGATGAAAGTGATCTGTGAAGTTATTGTGTAAGGATTCTTATTTAAAGGTGAACGAAGCTGACTTGCAATTCTCTAACTGTAAAATTAAAACCATGTTGACTATTGATCTTTCTAACACCTTTTTGTGAATTGTCATTCACAGGTAAATGGTATACCTGAGGAAAGAAAACTTACAGAGGCGATTAATTTGTAATTAAATAAAACAGCCAATATCATCTTTTATTTCCTTATCTGCTTCAGTGATGCTTGAGTTTTTCTGATGGCGTATGCATGCCTTGTGTTAAATATTCCAGTGTCAGATGGTAATCCATTTCCATATTACTAAATTGACTGTATTTTTTTGTACTTTGGACACTTTCAACAAATTTATAAAATGGTAACTTTTATATTTGTTATATTTAAAATAAACAAATATTAAACTATTGGCTCTTTCTTACATGGATTATAAAGCAGTATATACTATGCAAAGGAGAGAAATGTTAGGACTTAAGAGATATGAAGGCCACAGGGAAAGATTTATTTGGGGGGTGGGAGATTTCCTCACATTTTTTCTGTGTTTCTTCTTCTTCTGGATCTTCACATCTCTAGTTAGTCTCATGAGTAATTTCTGAATAATTCTTAGGAAAAAGAATAATCTTGGCACAATACATGCTATTATTGTGTTGAGAACTGCTGGGTTAGGTAGCTACATTTACTTTAAATCACGGCAGAAGCATGCTAAATAGACAATGTGACCTTGACATAATGCTAAAATAGTCCTTTATATGCTTATGTGGCTGGTTTACTTATTTCAACCTATGGTAATAACTGGAAAAAATGAGCACTCAAGTGCTATCAGAATATAGTCTGCTGAGTAAGCAATTTTGGAATCTGTAGCTACACTGCCATTCAGAAGTTGGCAGGCAAAAAGTGAATTACTGGCAGAAACCTTTGGTTAGTGCAATCCTTAAAGATTGTCCCCTAACAGTTCATCTGCAATTTTCTGCATAACCCCAATGTTTGTATTATTTCAGTATTCTCCCAAATTAGAATACAGAATTCAAATCAAGTATTAGACTCCTTAGAAAAAAATACCACACATACACACTTCTGCTTAATTGATGCTCCTTCCAGTACAAAAATAGGCACCCACAGCACACTTATTTAATGTTTAAATTACTTCATATTTTTCACATAACTTTAAAAGAAAATATATTTTATCCACATACAGTAATAGCAAACAAGTGCAATATTTCAAACCTAAAAAATAATCTTTAACCAAATCTGTACAACAGATAAATAAAATATCTACAATACTTGGTTTATAAACATAACAAAGTTCCCACCCCTAAGTAAAGACATCTCACTCCTTAAATGTTACAAGTCAATTGTACATGCAGCCCACGGGCTTGCCAACCTTCACTGGCTTAGCTAAACTGAAGTGAAAAACAAAAAAAATGCAACAATCAGTGGCGAAGAACAGTTTTACACGATTGTGAATAAACTGGCAACTGTGTATGGAGCTTGCACACTGTAGTTTGTTAACAGTGCAAGGGAGACAGTTCAACTTGAGCATTAAATGAATTTCATTTGAGATCCATCATTTATTTAGCGGGATCCTACACCCCCCCCCAATTATATTTAAATTTGATTTTCTGTGACAGGATTCCAAAGTTGCCCCTGTCAAAAGTATACATCAGAAACACAGCCCATAAATGAAAAGCCATACTGTTTCATTATTACCTAGAATTGTGTGTATGCATCGAAACCAATACTGTCGTCATTCTTTCAAGCCCTAAAATCATATGCATAGCAGAGACAACCACTGAGGCCAAGACTCAAAAGGATCAAGCGCCCCACTCCCAGGTGTGCACCTATATTTCTTTTAGCCAAAGTCTCTCTGTAAAAGTTACCTCCCCCCAGCAATCCAAAAATGCTATTTAAAACTCCCATCAATGGGGTCTGGGCACAAGAACTTTATAAAGGTATCACTGGTAGATGCTCACTATTTCCCTACAAGAAGCCCCAAACTGCCTGTTGAAATTGGCACTGCTCAAACAGCAATTTGAGATACTCCAGGGACAGCTTCTGAAAAGGAAGCTAAGCATGAAATTTGAATCAAACCCCTACATGATATACAGATATTAGGATGGTGTCTAGAATTTGTACCGTACTTGTCCTATTACTACTTTAATGTACCTTGAGGCTGCCAAAAATACGGCTAGAATCATGAATTCAAAAGGATAAAAATAATTCAGCTCCATTATGCTGCAATCTGTTCCTTCAACCTGCACTGCTGGAGTTTTCACATCTGCACAGCACGCTTAAGATTGTAACTAGGCTAAATTGAGAACATTAGAAATGATGTGATCCTAAAGGCCAGAACAGAAAACTAACATTTTAGAATGTAAAGCTTGTTTAATCTATCCATTAAGGATAGAAAAACTACGCTGATTTTAACACACTGTCTGGCTGCAGCCCTTTAAAAATAGTCACTAGTAAAATACTCTTCTCATGTACTCTAATGCAAGATAATAACCTCTTCCTACCAAAATGAAAAAACCATCAGGATCATAATAGTCATAGCTAGGTACCTGACCTCTACACTGAAGTGTGTGTGATATAAACATTTCCAATTCCTATGCAGTTGCTTGCAGCTGGAGAAGGGGCACAGTTGAATAATATCCTAGCTGCCTCATTATTATTATTTTTACAGGGTGTGAGTACAATCCTATGACAGGTGACAAAAGGAAAACGTGATAGGAGAGGGGCAGGGGACTTTTCATTTTCAGTGAAATTTGGAAACCAATATTGTAAGATACAAAGCACTGATTATGTAAACTAAAAACAGTGATGAAAAAGCAATGATTTTAGAAAAATCAACATGAGACCACTCAAACATTCAAAATTATGAAAACTTAGGAAAATGAATGAAAATGGATCATTGAAATGCTATGGCATGCTATACACTTTGTAAACATGGATAAGATTATAAATTAATGTGATTTTCCTCCAGTGCTTGAAGGCTTTCCTAGATATGTAGTAGCCATAGAAAACCAGTAATCCAGGGGTAGCCAATGTTACGGACTATAATTCCCCATCAGCCCCAGCCAGCAGATAATGGGAGCTGCTCACAAAATGGTGGAGGGTGGGTGTCAAATTGGCTACCACTGCATTAATCAGAAAAAAGTTACTAACCTCTTACTTTCAGAAACACTCCAAAAATAGTAAGAAAAACCTGACCACACATTGATGCTGAATTCTTTAAAGAAAAGGCTACAGCTGTTAATCCATTTAACACGGTGCTGTCCACAAATAATAAACTGGCTTCCTTAATAAACTGACAGGAATTTAACTGCCTTTAAGGCTCCAGGATCAGGGTCTGTTTTACTTCTTGCAATAAAAGCAGTTCTTTGAAACATACAAATGCATCAGTTATGATATGCTAGTAATTATTAACAGTTTGATAATGTCTCAACGTAAAATTGACGCAATAGTCTCTAAATGCCTCTTGAGCAAATCACACACCATTCTTTAATTCTCGAGAGAGATGTAAACCAGAAAAACGCTCAAGTAGAAAATATGTCTTTTTTCACACGCAGTAGTATACAGTGTGTTTCTGTTTCTTCTTCCTTTAGTGGGTGGATATCCCCCTGCAAAGGGGTGACATTGCCACCATGTATATGTTCAGTTGCCTTCATTTTGATAGCTTTCCTTCGTTGCCCAGACACAGAGAAGTTGTGGTTGGTTTGTGTAATTCCAGTTGATTTTTATTTCTTTAGTTTTGGGCTCAGGCAAACACAATGTAAGCTTGAAGCGAAGCTTTTCGGATTTATTGAACGCTAATGCCTTGATTGTTCTTGAAATGCCGATAGAAAGAGAAGTCCAGAAAAAAATCCACCCACACAGAGCAACCTTTTCAGCAGAATTGCATTATCTTTCGGAACAACCATCTGTGCAAGATCATTTGTGATCAGGGAAATTTCATGCGCCACACACACAAATATAAAAGTGCTGACAATAATGTTGAGCATGGGATTGCCAGGAATTAGGACCAAGATCCCCTTGGTATCTGCTGCCAGCCAGATATGGTACTGACAGATGAAGAGCTGGAAAAGGAGAAAAAATGAAGTTAGAATTGCATTTATCATGAAAGTAAGCTTTAAGCCCAAAGCTGGTTTGGAACACTAGGCAAATATGCTATAAATCGTATGATATCTGACATGTTTGTGTCACAAGAGCAACAAACAGGCTAAAGCCTTATGCAGAAATGCCAACAGGATTTCCTGGGTCTGGTACGTGGACCATGCGCTCTGCCCCACTTGCAAAAGAGGGCACAAGGTCCCAAAAGTTTGCATATACTTTGTGTCCTGGGCAAATTTGTGTCCTCTCTGGCAGGTATGGCCTCAAAATGAATTAGGGGCCAAAAAATAATATCTACCACCCAGAAGGTCAACAGGCAAAATTCACCCCACCCCCATTTAATTCTACATCCATACTAGAAAATGTTTAACCTGTTGAATTTCTGCTTGACACAACTGTTAAAGACACAAGAGTCCTCTGCCTCAGTGCCCTCCAGAAACCATGCACAGAACTCAAGCTTCATGAGTTGTAAGCCAGCTGTTGCTGTGCAGGTCTTTCATCACTTTGCATTAGGTTGGTTACATTGCTGGTATTTCAGGTGGTAGCTGAGATGGATTTAAGATTGACAGCACCAAATTCCAGATGCCCATAGCTGGACAAATTCAAAATTGCTTTGTTAAAAAATGAAGCGGTATATTAGAGGAACATTTTTGTGCCTCTATATAGTACAGCCTCCCAATTCTCGATTGTACATAATGCCAGATAACAAATCGACTAAAGTTTTATTGTAAACAGACTTAAGTGTTTGATCCTTTAAATTACAATAAAATTATACTACTTGCCTCAAGGGAAATTCTGCCAAACCAAGCGAAAAATGAACTATATACAGAACGTGCATAGCCAGGTATATTCCTGATAAGGATAAAAGCTAAAATCTGAAAGACAAAAGAAGCTGGGTGAAAAGATGTTTTAGGCTGCAATCCTGTTCACTTAGCTGTAAATAAATCCTTCTAAACTCAATGGTTCTGAACAGACAGCCTAAGATTGGATTAATAGCACATCTATTGAACTTATTTCATACATTTCATAAAATGCAAAACCTACTGGCTTTCAAACTGTGGTGCAGAACACTGCGTTCTGTGAGTAGTAATCAGAATTCTGCAATGTGAAGACGGGGGTGGGGTGGGGGTGGAATGAAGATCCTAGCCTTGTACAATTGCTTCTACTGAAAAACAGTGTGGGCTTTGCAAAGAAATATATTAGGTATCAAACAGCTATCGTCCCAATAAAAGTCTAAGCAGTAGCTGAGCATATGAGAATGAGCCTGTGTGAGGCTCGGACTCATGCACCTCCTGCTCTCCATCCAGCAAAGTTGTGAGGAAAATGGAAGCAGCTACTTCCTGGTTTACACTAACCACAGTTTGTTGTTGCATCCCAATGGAGCCAAACTGTGATTTGTTCAAACTGGTTCATCAACACAAGCTGGGAAGCAAAACCTCTCTCAAAAAGCCAGTTTATGCAATTCTAACCTATATTTTAGCATTACATCTGAACCAGGCCTCACTGAGCACCCCGACATATATATGAGAAAACTAATAAATACTGTGTCCTATCAGCCCCAGACGACATGGCCAATGGCCAGGGATGATGGGAGATGTAGTCAACAATCTCTTGAAGGCCAAAGGCTCCCCATCCCCGCATTACGGGATCATACTCTAGCTTGGCTAGGAAACTGAGAACAAGGTGGGAGAAGGCCAATGAAGGGAGCTCAGCTGGAGCTCAAGTGGACACCAGTCCTCTTGTCAATGTTTCCTATTGTAAGCTCTGGGACAAAGAATTTCAGGCCAGATTTCTTCAGTCTAAGTAACTGGATGCAACACACTTCGGGGGAGGGGGGGGAATGAAGTTCTGTCCCTGAGGCTCTTCTGTAATGAGGGAACAGTCTCGTCATTTGATAGGGGAATGCCAGCCTCCCGAAAGAGAGAGATGGCTAGATGTGTGGGTTTTGGCACCTGACTGCCATATTGCCCGAACCCTGTGCATAGGGACCTGCAGTCTTCAGCCCAACTCTAATCATTTTATCATGTATTTTGAGATTGTCAGTCTGCAAAAAAGGGACTTGTTTTAATTAATGGCATGTATGCTGCTCTTTGGTTGAAGAGTGGAATAAAATGCTCTAAAATAAATAAATTGCAGACCTATTGCTATCACAGTAGTGCCATTATGTTCAAATGCTTTTACTTTGTTTTGTCTGAACATGTTTATGATCAACCACACAAGTGGGAGAGAGGGAACTACCCCAGACAATTGAACTATGTGCAGCAATCTAAGGTGCACAAAACACTCTGCTCCGCCATTACTTGTGAAGGCCAGATTTCTCAGTAGTTTTGTAAGCCTTAGCACTTTACATCCTGGGTGAGTGTTTATAATCAAAGACTGTACTTACAAGCAACAAAGGGAACACAATTACCTGCACAACTGAAACCGAAGGATGCATTTCATTGCACTCAGTTTTATTTTTACAACTGCTGGCCCATATAGAGTACGTCTAAAATATAAACATATATATTATTATACATTTATTTATTTATACCCGGCCTTTTCCCCTGACTAGGACTCAAGGTGGCTTACAGATAAAAATAAGAATAGCTAAAAACATAGGGGGGAATAGTTAAAAACAATTAAACACTGATAGAATTAAAACTACATATATGGAGGATACATCAAAGAACACAATTATTTTGCAGTGCTAGAAATGAAATTAGTTTATTCAGCGGAACAGCAGTGTTGGCCCTACAAATTACACTTTGACTGTAATCCTATGCAAGCATACCAGGAAGTAAGCCAAATAAAATGGTGTTTAATCCTGAATAAACCTGCACAGATTTGGAGCCTTAGAGATGGTTTTCTTCTGTGTTGAAATACCCGATGCCTCCCCCCCCCCGAAGTTCTCTACTTTATTCAGTGTAGTTGGGCAAAACTCTTAAAAACAATGTCAGCAGACCAATAACCTTGGGTTCTTATGGCATGCCTAAGGCTTGCTACTAATTTTCATGAAGACTGTCCCCACTTTCAGTAACTATTCAGGAATTAAGAGAGACAATAGCTGAGTAAGGTATCTCAGAAACTTACCAAAAAAGAAACAACTGAAATAAATAATAAAACATTTGAAACTTTGCTTGGAAAGAGTGGCTCCCCCTTTCCTTCTGAGAGGACTTGCTGTTTTTGAAATGTTAGATAAATAAAAGCAAACAACATCCCATGAAAAACGACCTGCAAGAGAAAGGAAGAACTGCTCAGTTGAAGGATTTAGCAACGGTGCAGTTAAGAAGACAGTTCAGTTCAGGTATCCACATGTAATGGACACATTCACCAACAATGCCTGAATTTAAAGAACCAATGCCAGTCTCTTAAGGCGCAACGGGATGAAGTTAGTCTCTCTGGGTCAGGCAAAAGTGCCCAATGTGCTCAGTCTATCATGTATTACTGAGCAACTGTCTAATATACAAAACTACAGACCAAGGATTTACAGCAGCTCTGGGGAACCTGTGTAGAGCCTCCTGAGATTATCTGATTCCAACTGCTATCAGCCTCAGCCAGCATGGACAACAATCAGGATTTGTGGGAGCTGTAGTCTGACAATATCTGGAGGCCACAGGTCCACTACCACTGGCTTACAGCCACTAATTTGCATTCGCTGAGATTTGCTGCATACATTTTCATAAACAGAGTCAGCTAGTGAAATAACCAGAGCAATTTTCTAAACTTTTTTCTTCTTTTAATTTCATTTTTCATTTAGTTCAGATTCCTGCATTCCAGGGGGTTGGACTAGATGACCCTTGGGTTCCATTCCAACTCTACAATTCTATGATTTGAAGAGTGAGATCATAATTTGCTTTCACTCGCCTAAGACTGGCAGCCATAATTGACAAAGGCAAAGCACAAAATCAACAATAAAAAATAAAAATAAACTGTACATACGTATCTATCTAATTTCCACCTAAACCACCATTCATAGATGCTCCCATTTAGTTCAAAGCCCTTGGACAATGGCCAAATAGAAAAAATCTTCTCAAATGCACCCTGTAATAAACAGACATGAAAAGAATGTAACTATTCAGTCACATCAATGGGCCATATAACAGAAACATTCCATTTCTAACAGCAGGCAAATGGAGATGCTCAAGGACCTTCATAAGATTAGAATAAAATACTTGATCATTTCACTGTACATTTAAGTCCAGCATCCTAAAATCACAGACAGCCTATTAGGATTTGTCTCCCTATCCAGGCATGTGAAAATACCCATTCTTTCACATTATAATGTTCTGCATCTCAAGACTGGCAAAGAAAGAGACTGCCTTGTGCATTCTGGTGTTGTGTACAAGGATCTATGGATCAGAGCCACAGCTTGCAATGATGTAATGTATAATTGCAGACACTATCTACACTCAACAATTTGGAAAAAGAAACATTCTGTTTCTTGGCTGTAATCAGACATATATTCATGATATCCATTAGTGTGGATTACTTATTAAATGCTTTCTGTCTTCAGGCTGAGAAAACAACAAAAATGAGGAAAACACTACTAATAGGCAAGAAAGAGGACAGTCAGGAACCTCTCAAGCAAGTCCTCCAGGAGAGCTGAAAGTTGGCCAGATGTATAATTTAATTTAGTATTTTGCTGCTGAAGAGACACTCACAACCAACATTTTCTTTTCATTTTTTGTGACAGTAAAATTGCTGAAGAATATCCTTATTTTAAAAAGAAACAAAAAGGATGCATCCATGTTCCCTGAATAAAAACAGTAAAGGATTCTGCAATGTTTAATAAACTTTTCTTAAAGTTAAACATCTGTTTTAATCAGCTTTCATCAAAGTAAAGCTTTTAACTCTCCTATTAAAAAAAATAAATGGCTGGATGCCCTGCAAGTCTTCAAATGGAAACAACATCAATTGGAACAAACAGACATGTCCTTTAAGTTTCTGAAAAGAAAATACATTTAAACTCTCTCTCTCTCTTTTACACACACACACACACACACACACACAGAGAGACACACACAGATGTTTTGAAATCCATGCCTAATTGTGAGGGCGTGAATAATTCTTTCCAAAGGAACTAGGCATTGAAGAGTTGGAAGTGCTTTGTAGAGATGGTTGTGAACAGTATTCTCTCTTAGTCAAGTGCCATTCAAATGCTCAGAATAAGGCCACATTTGCCATAAATCTTATGCTGAAGTCACAGCTGAGTTGCATTTTAGCCCTGAAGAGCAGGCAGCATTGGCAAAATGAAAGCATTCCATATCCAAAAATATATACAAAATATATTCTCCCATTCAGCTATGAGGTGTTTTTTTTAATGCACAGCTGAATGTGGAAGCACATGCTTCTCATGCAGTTCCTCAGCCTGAGCACAGCCTGGTAAGCAAAGCTGGAATCCCATCCATCGGGGGAGTGGGGTTGGGAGATTAATAACAGAAACTTCAAACCAGCTGACAGGTGCTATTCCAATGTCTTTTATCAGGCTGCTGCTCATCTGGGCTGCAGAATTTCCTATCCTAAAAGCTTCAGAGTGGTCCACTAGACAGAGACAGGAATACAGTTCTCCTGAATATTAAATCCAATCATTCTGCAGCTAGATGTTTTCAATTATTTTTATGGTCAAATACCAGAAAGCAAACATGATCTGGTTTTCATTTATAATATATTCATATTTTAATGTCAACAAAATGCAGCAGAAAGAATCTTCTTGTTCTAACTGCTCCTTTTCTTAATGTTAGAAATGCGCAAACATTTAATGCCCAAACATTTTTGATATGCCTCTCCTCTACCTCACTAGGAAAATGTTGGGACCTGGGTTTTAGCAAGCAAGTCTACCAAGGTTTCAGCAAAAGGAAGGGGGGGGGAATTCTCTCTCCTCAAAACAAAACAGCCAGCTTTGGATGCAAGCACAGGCTGATGTGCTTTGTGACAACAGATGCGCCACCCTCAGACCTCTGAATGAACCCAAGCATTCCAACACCAATTTCTGTGGAAACACTTAATGGATTTACAAAAGAGCTAAAAGCATGTCCTTCGCTCTCAGATACCACAACCTGTTCCTTGCGGAAGCAACAGGCTGATTGCCATGACTGTCCCATAGCTGCAAGTGCTTTGCTTTTGAACACAGCTTAAATGTTTGCTTTCTAACATGCCTTAGAATCCAAATATTTAACTTGTACCAAAATATACAAATCATACAAACCTGAGAATATGCTAGAAAATATATACAGATGAACAGGGAAACTAGTTTCAGCAGTAAACCAAAATGCCAGAAGCAACTGCCTGTGGGCAAGAGCAAAAACAAGACTAATGTTAGGCAGTAAACTTTTTTTATTGCATTTTTTTTACTGTTGCATCTTTTACATTATACACAAGAGGGACAGCTGCGTGTAGGTGGGAATGAACATTCAGATAGAAATTCTTCTGAAAGTGCTGCAATACGGAAACATGACACCCACCCACAGTACATTACTTCAATAGGATGCCCTTCCTAACCCACATTCCACCCCAGCTAGTCATGTATTGTTAAAGCAGACTGCAGCAAATGTCTGACTGGGCAGCACCGGAGGGCAATGAAACAGCCAGTGCGGCACTAGCCAGATAGTCATGGCAGCAGGGGCAGCTTCACAGCCCTCCCCACAGCCCGGGCAAGGGTTCATTTGCCCCCAGTGACATTACACAGCCAACTCTGATGGGCTATATGGTGTCAAGGTGGTGACATTTTCACTAAGTGAACCCTGAACAAGCCCTTTGGAGTTAGGAAGAGAAAAGAGAAGCACCAGATCAGGGAAACTATGGCTGAGAAAAGTATGTGAAGGTAGTGTTATTTCCCTCCATGGACCCTTCTGGCATAGAATTCTCTCTACTCAGTAAGAAGGTAGGCCACATATTACCTTGAATTATGGCTCTTTGCAGGCCATCATTCAGCATTAAGCTCTCAGGCCAAGAGGTGAACCAAGCATACAATAAAAAAAAATCTGAGGTATTCAGGAGGCTACTACAAACTAAATAATGGTGTGTCCAAACACATATATTTTATATACATCTTTTGATTGTTTTAAAAGTGCAAGTTAATTTTCTAAATAGTTCTAGTATTTTCTCTTAAATTGTTTTACTGTTTTCTGTTAACCCAACACAAGTAAAAGGTTAAATATCCCAACATAATAATAATTGCCTAGGCCTACCTCCTTTTGCTGAGCATTCCCCCATCTTCGACCCTCCCTTCCCACAAATGGCCACATTAACAATGATAATCTGTGACTATCTTCTGTTATGTTATTTGGGTCAGCAATTGAGGCAAATAGAAGATTTTTGCTTTACAAAAATGTAGTTTGATTTTACTATTGAGAATGCCATGTATTAAAAAAATCACAATGCTATTTAAAGTTGAATATAACTGAATGCAAAATAAAGTGCTTAAGTTATTTTAATACAAAAGAGAATCATATTTACCATTGGCCTTCTTCTGGACTATTTGAGGCCATAGAGCTAATGTAACATATATGATCATAAACCAGACAGTGACTAGAGGAACAAAGTAATAGAACTGGTAAGACCGATCCATCACTATGCACAACACCACAACCAAGAAATTCAGTCGAAATAAAACCTGTTAAATATTGGAGAAAAGGGGAAGTATTTCTTTATTAAATGTAAGGAATGGCAAGTGATTTTTCATGTATATTTTAGTGCAAACAACTTCAACAAGGTAACATTTGCATCTCAAGTGACAGAGTACCACAAAGCATTCACATTTTGAATTATTTTTACTACAGTAAGCTTACGTAACAATTTTGCTGATCAGGCTTTTCAAAACATAAAATGAAAACAGTTTAAGAGAACCCAGCCTTCTACAGACTTCCTCTATCCAGCTGCTCTGTATGCACAGAACAGCGTGAAATTAAAAAACTAACACAACACAAAATAAATTCTTGCCTATAAAACTATTGTTACTGGGTATCAATCTGTGATGTAACCATTTCTTCTTCTTATTTAATATTAAAGGATAGCTATTTAGAGTTGTGGATGGCTATAAGTTTGGTTGCAAGGTTATACATCTCAGATTACATGAGGCATTAGGCCTCAGACCTCTGCAAAAGTTAAAATATATGGTGCTTTAAGTGCTGACAGAAGCCTTGGTTACAGATTATTATTTTTTAATTATCTGCCCTTCATCCTAAAGTCCCAGGGCGGGTCACAACATTAAAACATAGTATTAAAGACAGTTTAAAACAACCTACAATTCCAAAAAAGGTGGGTCCTAAAAACATACACTTCAAATGTCAAAAGCCAGGATAAAAAGGTACATATTCAGCGTTCTCTGGAAACTATATAATGAAGGTGCCAGATGTACCTCTGTGGGGAGGGAGTTTTACAGCTTAGGGGCTACAACAGAGAAGGCCATCTCCTGGGCTAACCCTCACACCCAATTTCTAAGTGCAAAGAGGGCTCCAGTTGCTAAGGAGGGGGAAATCTTAGGCAATTAGTGCTGAAAGAAAACAAAATCATACTCTGGTGGCACACTTCGGAAGATTTAGGCTTAAGTTAAGGAAGGGTTTCCCAAACTTGGATCTCCAGCTGTTTTTGGACTACAACTCCCATCATTCCTAGCTAGAAGGACCAGTGGTCAGGGATTATGGAAACTGTAGACCCACGTTTGGGAAACCCTGAGCTAAGGCAATTGGGATCCAGAGAGGAAGTGGTGAGCTTTTGTCAGCCTCAATGACTTTTTTGAAGTCTTGCCTCCTACTGAATAGGGAACGATCCAACATTGGGAAGTGGCAGTGGGCAAAGTACTGGGTAACGTTTGTAGCAGTCACTCAGAATTATTTTTATACACACAAAAGCTTAATTCACGTCTTACCTGACACACTCTATAAATGCAAAAATCTCCTTTAATCCAGAAGTATGAGAAATGCCCGTAGCCCGTTTGGAATAGATATGCAGCAACCAATACACGGATGTGCATGTACACTGGCAGAAACTATTAATAAAAACGTAAATTGTATTTTTTTAAAGCTAGGTAACTTTCAAAGATTAAATCCCACATTAAAGTGTGCAAAATGAGTAAGTTTCCCCCCTCACTTTATTTCTGCTTTTGAATATAATCTCGTTTACAGAACTTAAAATCTTTTGGCATAACCAAATCACAGCAGATGACCTACAGTGGTAATTAGTGAAATATTTATTTTTTAATGTAGACATTTTGTGGGGACCTTAGCAGCCATGGAAAGCCTTCTGCCATCATAGTATTACAGTGGGGGACCCATAGGAGCAGTAAGAAATAATTTGGGCGGGGGGGGGAGTTAGGGGAGTTTCATGTGGCCCATGGGCTAGCCATCCCTGCTAGGGTTGGAGCAATAATCCAAAAATGAAATCAGAACAGAACAGGACATATGACCTTTCCTAAAATCATCCAGAAGCATCATTAAAACAAAACAGCAACCATTTCCAGATCAGGTTGGTTGTCACCTTTTTTTTTTTTGGAAAAGTACATCTTTCAAAACAGACCTTAATCACCCCAATATGGAATTAAAACAGAGAAGAAAGACATCATTTAACTATTCAACTTTTGCTTCAGTAGTAAATCACGCAAGACTATTCCTCATGCAAAATTGTTAAAATTGCAAAACAAACTTACAGTGCTTGCTCCAGAGATATGATAGATCAAGATGACAAGCTGCATCCAGCCTTTCCATTCATCGGTTTGTTCCCTATTTAACACCTTAGTCTGCAAAGTAAAAAGACAGCATTGCTATTCCAACAAGTGCAAGCAGAGCACTACAAAACAAGGAAACACTATTATGCGGTGGATGTGTCTAAAACTACTATATAAGGGTAAGTGCAATAACTGTTATTCTCCAATTATGTTTTATGCATTTTGCACCACTAGGAGTGGGCTACAATCCACATGACTGATACAGATCTCTGTGTAAACAGTACAACAACGGCTGAGTACTTTTGCTCCCCATCTAACGCTAACATTGTGCTCTGCCTGATAGATGGTTTTGAAACTCAAGGGACAGCGGTCCCCGTTGGGAGCAGGAAAGAGAAGCCTTGCTGAATTTACATTTGGCCACTCTGGCTCAGGGTCATGGACTCTTGAGTAAATGTTGCCGAAACATCCACAACTGCTCATCTGTTGTTTATGCACGGCGTTTTTCTGGAAGTGACAGTTTTATTTGAATCTATTTACAACAGGGTTGGGGATCGTTCTGCCTGAAGACCACATTTCTTTGTGGGCAATCTTCCAAGAGCCACATGCCAGCGCTGGACAGAAGCGGGCAGACAACTGAAGGCAAATGTTACCTTTGTACAGTAGACTAGTTTCTACATGCACCTCTCACTGTCTGCCATCCAGGCAAACAAGAAGCATTAACCCCTTTTTTGCATTGCCTTTATTGTTATTGTAACCTGTTTAAAATTGTAAACTCAAGAAAAATACTTTTTACAAAAAGAAAAGACAGGAACATTGCCAGAGTTCAAGAACACATCCCAGTCAGACAAAGAGCCTGTGATCTTTCAGAAATAAAAACAAAAATAAAGCAGGCTTACCTCTTTAGTATTTTCTGTGTAAAACACCCCTAACACTAGGATATAGATGATTGGTATGAAGAAGGATGAGTGAGTGTAAAACTTGTTTTCTTTCATGAACAGATTTGCTCGGTCGCATAGGTAGAAGTAACCCATTATCAAACCAAGTCTGCATAAACACTGCAAGGCTGTCTCTAGAGTAGAAATGGCTGTAGTGTTGGTGACAGGTTTCTTCTCTTCTCCACTCTCCATATCTGTACATGGCTTATTCTTCTGGTGATTGTTACGACGTATGAGAACAAGAATTAAATATCCAATTATGGAGGAAGCAAAAAACCCAAAGGCTAGTTTTTGTATCAAAGTGACAGGAGGCTGAGGCTGGCAGCACGAACCATCGATGGGCTTTATAACCTTGTTGCAGTGGATGTTTATCAGAATCATTGCATTCTGTCCAGGAAAAAACACATAATTCCAGCCATTAGGATATGGAATTTAAAATGTCGTATGACTCACATGGTCTAAATGAATGGTAGGATGTTGTTTTCTTTTTTAAAATAAATAAATAAAACAAAATATTGTTTTTAATTTGTTTCATTGAACAAGTCCAAACTATGGGCATGAAGAGACAAACTTTTTCTATCATCCAAGGGCCAAATTAAATTAGATGTTGGTAGATCCATGATTGGATCTCCCATAGTTTAACCTAAAACAAAACAAAAAAAAAGTGGAAGATCCCATCCTCAACAACCTCACAAACCTTTGGGGTTTTTTGACCCTTCGTATTCAGGGTGACAACACTGCTAGCATCCACTGCTCACCGTATATTTTTCTAATCTGTGTTTGACCTACTTCCACCCCCAAATTCCTTTCAGAGGAATGAAGTGCTGATTCTGAAATTATACTTCTTGTTTTTCACAAAGATGCTTTATTTTTGTTTTTTAACAGAACTGACCTTAGTATTAATATAGTACTCCCCCTTCAGCATTCAAAAAACTTTCCATATATCTGTTGTGTTCACATACAACATTAAACCATGGATTAGCACTACATCCACACCCATACTTCTTGTGTGGTTGGAGAACTTTGCTATTTTCAGTTTCATAGAATTCTGGCCAACTTCGTAATCCGTGGTTGATGTAGGGTTGTTCTGAAACTCCCCCAAGTTTGTTTTAAAGCACTACCCAGGACTTTATGAAACCAGAAGTAAATCAAATCCTTCTCCTAGCCACATATGAGGGGAGAAAAGACAGAAACAAACAGTGCTAAACTGTGGTTAGGAGTTATGTATACATCAGCCCTGTAGGCAATCAGCAATTCTGATTTCTCTAAGCATCACATCCTTAATACAAAGCAGTATACAATTATCTACACTGTGTAAAATATTTTTTATTAAATAGTTTGAAAATAATTCTGCAAACAATACCTGAAGAGAAGTCTCATTATTATTTTAATTTATAACCCACCCTTCCCCCTAAGGTCCCAGGGAGGGTTACAACAATTCACAATACAATATTAAAAACTTACAACTGCTAAAAATGCAGTAGCAACAAAGTAGTGTCTAATAAATCTAATAAAAATTAAGACAATTTCCTACAATTGTCAGTCTTTTGGCACCCTAAATCTTAAAGGCTGTTTTCTATAAAGAATAATAGAATCAAACAAGTGTAGAGCTGGAAAGGAGCATGAGAATCATCTAGGCCAGCCCCCTGCAATGCAGATTACTTACTATTTCTCTGCTTGATTCAGAAAGGTGTATACCATCTGAGGACTGACTTATAGTTTCTTCCGCTATCAGCCTAGATACACTGAAAATTTTTACTTTAGCTTTTGAGTTTTTTGAGCTGCTGTTCAGGATACTGATTGCTGCTTCATTGTAGGCATCTATTTTCTCATTAGTGATCATTTTCCTGCTTTCACTCAACATATCTTCATAAACTGGATCTGATGTCAAAAGAAAATGGGGATTTAAAAAAAAGAAGCAAAGCAATAAATAAATAAATAAATAAATAAATACTCAAGATCTAGATATACTATTCTCATCCGCTAAATGATCCACTAAAATAAGCCTCACATGTCTCTCCAGTTAGACCCTTAGAGGGAGCCCTTTTCAAGTCTGTGCAGAGGGACATACGCTCCTAAAATTGGAGCACTTTTCATTCTGCAAAGAAAGCAGTTTGCATTTAAGTTACTAAGGGAAGCACTTTGAATACTGCTTCCTTTGGAAAGAAAAAAATGCTCCTTTTAAAAACAAAGGCATTTGAAGCGCCTTGGTGAGCAGTTGGGAAATGCTTAACAAGGAGCTTTGGAAATTTTGTGCTTGTTGCTTGGAAAATGCTGAACTCAGGTCTTGCAGAAGAGTTTGTGCTGTGATTTAAAAATGTCCAACAACCTGGTGGTCAGGCATTTGGGAAGCACTATGCAAGGGGTTTTGCAGGCACTGTCAATTGGCATTGCCTGCAAAGCCCCTTTTGGACTAGGTCTAGCATTACTTCCCCACACCTTATGTCAGGTGTGGGACAGGTGGATGTGGCTTGGCCAAAATGAGCTGCTGAGCGAAATGAAGGTTCTCCATCCCTGAGTTAGGGCATGATAGTAACACAGTATTTCTTGCAAGGAGGACAAACAAGCTATCTGGTCTCGATTTGCTGATCTAATAATGAAACAAGCATCCTATTCCTATCTATTCCACTGGCATTAAAAGGTATCTACTCATGAGCAAATCCACTGTCTGGGCTGCCACTCAAAATTTTAGCTTCTAGTCTTTCCAGTCAGTTGACCTGCTGCAGCCTAACCAACCATTTCTCCCCAAAAGTGGCCAATGCTCTGTGCAGATAATAAGAAATGTGTTTTCCCACAAACTGAGAAATGGATTTACCAATTAAGCCATTCACAATGTGGGACAAACAGCAGCAGCTGTTCTTGGAATACATCATAGAATAAATCTGGTGTAGTTACTGATATTCAGACTGGAATTGCAAGCATTAAATACAAAAATGCTTAGCTAATTAATTTGTTTCACTACAAGACACAACAGCTATGTCATTATATTACCTTGTAGGACCCAGTAGACATCACTGCTCTTTGCCAGTTTTTCCAGAAGAGGGGCAACTGATGTGATATTGATTTTATACTGTGTGAGGGCTTCATTGCTGCCATTGTGAATACTGATAGACCACTAAAAGAGTATTAAAAGTGAATCAGTTAGCAAACATATTTGTGGGCGATATAATCAAAATGGTTCAATATTCACAAATCTTAGCTGATGTTTCAAAAACAGGGTAGCTGAAGTAGATAAACACAAGAAAATTCTGAACTCTGTGCTCTTGGGTAAAAAGCATAGGATATTGCGAACTGCTGTTGCTAAAGGACTTTGATGCAAATTTAAATTTTAAAAGACAACTATCTAAAATTGAGAAAACATACTATTAAAACTTTCAAAAATTATCTATTGCTCCTTCAGCAGTTTCAAATATTAAATGATACCCACAGCACACATCAGTCCCCCTATAAATTTTTATTCCATAAGACAGTAAGACCAAAGAAGGTGTTCCGTGCCAGAAGTATCTGTCTATAAAATTACCGTATTTTTTGCTCTATAAGACGCATCCGGCCATAAGACGCACTCAGTTTTTAGAGGAGGAAAACAAGAAACAAGAAAGCAACACAAAGCCTCTTGAGTGAAGAGGCAGGAGCGCTCCCGCTGTGCTTAAGAGGCTTTGTGTGGCTATCCCTGAAGCCAGAAGAACAAGAGGGATCGCTGTGCACCGATCCCTCTTGTTCTTCTGGCTTCAGCAATAGTTGCGCAGCCTGCATTCGCTCCATAAGACGCACACACATTTCCCCTTACTTTTTAGGAGGGGAAAAGTGCGTCTTATAGAGCGAAAAATACGGTAAGTAATATTGCTCTAGAACCAGAAAGACAGTGAGAGAGAGAGAGAGAGAGAGAGAGAGAGAGAGAGAGATGGGGATGCACAAGGAAGCTTAGGCTGTAAGTTACAAGACAGAAGTGTGAAAGGTTAGTTAATGAAAAACAATACAGAGAAAGAAGATCATATGGGATTTTAAAGGTCTGAATTAGAAGACTACTGTTTTAATTTTCATTTGGCCATTACAGTGACATATTAGATGAACAGCTTACCACAGCAGCTCCTGCTACAACTATGTGAGGCTTTGGAGAAGAACCCTTTGGAACAGTAAAAAGGAGGTTAGTCTTTTCAGTGTCTTCATAAAGGACATGAATAATCAAATGTACTGTACTGCAAAAATTAATCACATTAGTCCACATTTAAACCTCATTTTAAAAAGGAAAAACCTCCACAAGCTTTAATCAATGTATAAAATATGCTGCAGTTGATTTGGAAGCAATTAAGTTATGACATTATAGAAGCACTGCTGATGAAGGGAATTGTGGAACTGTTTTCTACTTAGCAAAATCTAGAACGTCACTTAAATTAAATATCCACTTAACTACACTGTACAATAGGACATTACTTTGTAATTGTTTTGTTTTAACAATGCAACATCCTAAACCTCTGCAATTTTCACCAAGGAAAGCAGATTATAAACCCCTTTGCAAAGTGAGCCAATCAATTCTTTCCTGTAAACAGAAATGCTACATGCATGCTGTCCTCCCCACTTTCAGGTTAAAAAACAAACCGTTTTTTGTTTTTGTTTTTACCTCCTTCTTATTTCTCACTAGCCCTATTCCTGGAAGCCATCACTGCCTGAGTTGGCTCTTTGAAAGAACAATGGGCATTTTAAATAAATAAAGATACACTTCAGAGTGCCAGTGAATATTGAAAAAAACTGAGGGATAACTAGCAGTTTAATTTATACTATATTGAAATTAATTTCAGGACCAGAACTGCCTAATGTACCCCCACCCCACCCCTCAGATTGTTGAAATATATTGCCATAAAGCAGAGGTTTTCAACCATTTTGAGTCCACAGCTCCCTTGACAAACTACATTCTTTCTGTGGCACCCCTGTGGGGCTCAGGAGCCCAGTTATGTTACCCCTTGCCTGCAGAGCTGGCAGGCTCTCACCCCTTTTCGAACAGCCTCCCTTGTGGAGTCTTCCCTCAGCCTCCTCTCCCCTCTCCTTGGGAGTCCTCCGGGCAGCAGCTGCTGCTGTTTCCCCTGATCTCTGACCAGCCCCACCCCCCCGCCCCAAAGAGAGGTGCTTCCTCACACTGCCCCATAGGAGCCTGGGGCTTGCTTGTTCATTCCCAGCAGCAAGGGATAGTGGACTGGCTGGCTGGGCTCCCTCCCTACTCGCTTGCTTACTCTGAGGCTGCCTCAACTCCTGGCAATCAGCACCCCCTGGCCAGCTCCAGAGGCATCATTCACCTGGGGAGCTTGTAGCCAGGGCTGCTGCAACAAACAGCCACATAAGCCTTGGGGAGGCAGAGGCATCAGAGGAGGGAGGGAAGGAAAGAGGGACAGAGGCCAGGGATGCCCGCGGCACCCCTGAGCATCATTCAAGGCACCCCAGGGTGCCACGGCACACTAGTTGAAAACCACTGTCATAAAGGAAGTTCAATAATACAACTCACTTCAGTCCAAGATTTGATAAGCTGCTTCATAGAGCCATTGACTTCCGGATACCACAGAAATTCCTGAGAGGAAATGGATGAGTTTATTAGCAAGTGGTTTACTCTCCTGAAAGAGTCAGCTAAGGTCAGCACTAAATGTCACAACTATTGACAGAATCAGCAGCGTTCCATCTGCATTTTCTACCGCAAATGTATAACACCTGTAAGTAAAAATATGCATGTACACTAAGATGCTGTGCTCATGTTTGGAAAACTTGGGGTCCTGGGCCAATCAGGTTTTTTGGACACATGTATACACATATCTTCTTTTAATAATTTATGCACTTTTTGTAGAAAACACTGCTGCTGTTTCTTAGAGGACGTAGTGAGAAGGAGACTTGACTAACTGCTCAAAGAGGAAACTGGATTGTTTTCAGTGGCAGGAGTATTTTTGAAATGATTTTTGTTATATTCTGTAGCACTTAATCCCTTCAGATATTCAAGTATTTGTCCTCACAATCCTCCTAAAACCTAGGGCAAGGCAGCCAAGGAAAACCAGCCCAAAGCAAAATCTTCCTGTGGTTGTATGTGTTGCAGCTAATGCAAACTGTGGTAGCTCAACTACTGAGGCAGGATATCACTTATAGATTACCCCAGTGTTGAAAGAACTGCATTGGCTGCCAATTAGGTACAGGGTTAGTTCATGTTTTGGCATATAAAGCTCAAAACAGCATGGGACAAAGACCCTGAGGTCCCTTTCAAATCTATGATTCAACTGTCCAAAGGAGGGCCTCTTGCAAATACCATCTTGTCAGGAGGTCTGTTCTGCACAATGCAGGAATTGCTTTTAGTGTTTTGGTACCTACCATCTTAATTATTTCCCAATTAGTATCAGATAGGAGCCATCTCTGTTGCTGTTTCGGCACCTACTGAAGGCTCCTTCAACAAGCCTTTCAAGTGGGGATATTTCTAAGTCTGCATCTGCATTGAATTTTTGTTTTGTTTTGTTTTATCACTTGTTTGCTGCCTAGGGCTCCTTTAGGAGGAAAGGTGGGATATAAATTTTACAACAAACAAAATATGAAAGTACTACTTTAGTAAATATTTATTTCTAAAGGTTTTTTATGTTGCTATACTTCACCCTGGTGTTTTGTGAAAGGGTGGTATATAAATATTATAAATAAATATAAATAAAATAAATACACATGCCAACTTCTTTTCTTCATTCTAGTTTAGAAGCAACTGGGTATGCTTACCACTTTAAGTGAGGATGATTTGTCTTCAAAAGGAATGTTTCCATGCTGTCAAAGTAAGAAACATGCAAAAATTACGCCAGTTTCCAGAAATCCATGACTGTATTCATGTTATGCTAAATTCTTAATTTGATGTTGCCTGGTTTGTTTTGCTAAATAGCAGTTGCCTGAAAAGAAGGAGGAGATAAGGGAGAGAGGGAGCAGGAAACAGGTTTGGGACTATGATGCAGCAAGAGAAGTTTTTAATCCTATCCTCTCACCACACAGTCCCAAAAAACCTCCCTCATCCCCACCTTGCTTCAAATTGCATCAGGAAAGAGGATGCCATTGGCAGCTTTCCTCTTGACAAGAACAGCAGCTTTGAGGACCAGCGGAAGACAAGAGATTTTCATTCAGGACACCAGCGTATTTCTAATGGTCCAAAACCTGATTACAAGCTCTGCAACTGCTATTTAAAGGGGGGGGGGGTAAACACACAAAACCAAATGTATAATTTGGGGGCTTTTCAGGCACACTTCAATTATTCTCCAGTAAGTACAGTGCCCTTTAGGTAAAATAGCTGCTAACGCTGACATGCTCTTATTTTCAAGGGCTAGTCCTTAGTGAGACTAGGTCTCCCCCCCCCCCCCAATCTTTCCAAGTCGCCCTCTACTAACAGCCCTGGAGCACACGAGGAATTTCTCTTTGCCTGGAGTTCAGACTAAAATGATATCTCAGACTGCCTTCTCCTTGGGTTCCTGACTTCATTCTTCTAAGATAGTCCTCCTCCTTTATCTTTATCTTTATCTATATCTGAAGTGCAGCACTGACCAAAAGCTCAACCCTCCCTCCCTCTTTCCCTCTCTACTTCTGGGTTCACCTGCAGTTTGACCGTACCCAAGGTAGCACAGTGCCACTTCAGGATGCCGCAGGCTACAGCTAAGTAAAATAGGCATCAAACTTATACATGGTTAAGGCACAGAGAAGCCAATGATGGAAAGGTATTCATGCCACCAACTTCTAAATACAAAGTTCCCAACTGCATTCTTCAGGTTTCCACTGTTAACCACCTGTCTTTTCAGCAATTGGTTCTTTTCTCTGAAACTGCTTGATTAGCTCTCTTTCTGAAGTTCCCACATTCATTAGCCTGGTTCAGACATCACATTCCTGATCTGAAAACTAAGGTGCCCCCACCATCTGCTGCCTCCTCCCATTCAGACTCCCCTCATTCATCCAGCTTGATACAATACTTTGTGGTAAACTTCAGCACAAGAAGACAGGATGTCCATATTGAGAAACTGGCTTGAACACTCTTCACAAATCAGAACTGGAATCCAGAAACGAAGTGTAATTTACAATCCTGGTGTGTACCCAGTGCTCAGACTTGAATTTCCTGGTATTGACATCCTATGTATAACCACCTGCTCCTGAAGAGACTATCAATGTCCCGAGAGAACTGCTGGGGCAACCTAACCCACACTTTCCCTGGGACTCCTTAAGCCCTGTGTGCAAAGGCCTGCCTTGAGGGAAGGCAGAGTAGAAAACAAGAAAAGCCTAGGTCAAGGAGCTACTGCCACCAGCTCCTGTAGGCAGCCTAAAAATATTTTGCAATATTTATTTGTATTAACATTTTAAATCATAAACCACCTTGGCAAGAAGGCACTGTACAAATGCAATAAATAAAAAAGTATTGTAAAGCTAGGCATGTAAGGGGAGGGAGAAAGTGGTGGAGGAACACATGGGCATATTGTGTTTTCCTAACCCAACCAAACCTGATTTGGTGGACCAGGAATGTGATGTCTAAACTGGATCAATACATTTTCAACAGAAATATCTTTACAACTAAGGTATTACAAAGACTGTAGTTTTCTAGTAATAACTGTGATAAAAGTAAAATATAAAAACCATACCTTGACTCCATCCTCCTTAATTTGAGGGTTCAGGAGTTTCACAAATGAGTAGAACAGCTGACGGATCCTAGAATCACCTATAAATGCAATATGTTTGTCTACGAGGCATGTTTTTGCTTCACTGTAAAAACAAACATTAATATTGATTTTCTTCAAGTATGACAGAACAAAAGTAATTCATCCCCCAAAAACTGCACTGTAGAATATTCTGAGACCAACTTATATCCCATATCCTTGATAATTCAAATTTGTGGGAACAAATTTTCCTTTTTCTTATAAAACACTACAAATATTGTTAGTTTATAAATTGTTGCCATTTTTACATTCTATTAACTAAGAAAAGAGAATTGCAACACTGCAAGACTGTGCTGGGCCTCCAACTCAACCAGTTATCGGGAACTGCAAGTGGGCAGAGTGCTGCTGTGCTTATGTCCAGCTTGCAGGCTTCCCACAGGCATCTGGTCAGCCACTGCGAGAACAGGATGCTGAACTAGATGGGCCATTAGCCCGATCCAACATACTCATCTTATGCTCTCAAGTAAGAACATTTTTTAAGAAATCAAATTCAAAAAGTAAGGTTGCTCTGAAGAGGGCAAGACCCACTGATGCACCCTTCTCTCTGGTATATTCATTCCCTGGGGTGACTGCAAAATGCTTTAGATAATGTGAGAACTCCTCTTTACATAATACAGTGGTACCTCAGGTTACATACGCTTCAGGTTACACACTCCGCTAACCCAGAAATAGTGCTTCAGGTTAAGAACTTTGCTTCAGGATAAGAACAGAAATCGGGCTCCGGCGGCGCGGTGGCAGCAGGAGGCCCCATTAGCTAAAGTGGTGCTTCAGGTTAAAAACAGTTTCAGGTTAAGAACGGACCTCCGGAACGAATTAAGTACTTAACCCGAGGTACCACTGTATCTAGCTGCTACTAAAACGGTTTGAGATCAACTCTGGTGGAAGTGGGGTGATAGGGGTTTTATTTCCTTCACATTTTCTTTTATAGCCTTAAAGCAATCAAGGTACACAAACTTGCTCACTGACAGGCACCTTAATGGTGCATTACTTTATGCACCAAGGCTGATGGAGGAATTATTAGATGCATCCTTGCCCAATCTGGTGCCCTCTAAGTATTTTGGACTACAGTTTCCAACAGCTCCAGCTTGCATGGCCATGCTGGCTGCAGCTGATGGGAAATGTAGTTCAAGATCTTTGGAGGGCACTGGGCTCAGATGGCTGAACTAGAGAATGAGGTGGGCGGGATTTGCCTAAATGGCTGCTTTAAGTACCAGTTTGCAATTGTAGGCAAACTGATATGGTTATGTGAGAAATTTCTTCATAGTAAGCAAGATACAGACTAACAATCATTATATTTATTTCATTTCTGCTAATAAAGTGAAACCACTAATAGGGATAGGGGAAACCCACATGAGCAGCACAAACACATTATGTGCCATATGACATTCACAGTGTAGGTTTAAAAATGTAATAATCCCAGAAACTAACACTTTACATTTAAGTGCACACTTTCGATATTTTCTTCTTTAAGGGGAAATTTAAAAGTAGAATATCTTACCTCTGCTTATATTTGTGCATCATACAGCCGTGAGGCTGCCATACTTTCTCCCCAAGAAATCTTCCACTAGAGAGAAGGTGCTCACAACTATCATCACCTTAAAAAAAATAAAACACAGACTGTATTATCAGTCATCATATTTTGGTCAACAGCTGTGTTCACAACCCACATAGTAAAGACAGGCATTTTATTGCCAGTCAGAAAAGTTACAAACATGTGGGCTTCATTTTAAAAAGGCTAAATTGAGTATGAGCCCAACACCTCCATTATCATTCCTTCAATAACATACTACTACTATATAGTAGTGACATCAAATGTTTTTGCCAATATGTACTTTAAAAGGAAGGATCCTAGTTTCATTTGTTCTGCTTAGTTCACACACATGCACAGTCCAGTTACAACTGGCAGCTTTAAAAAACAATGTTCAATTTAACCATCATAATTAACCCCCAAAGGCCAGGATTAAAAATTAAGTCATTTAAGATCCATGTAAGATTAATGAGGAATGAAGCCAAGGAACTCTGTGCTCACTTCCAAACCAGCGCAGTATGTGTAGCTTTGTCACTTGTGTGATCAAAATTGTGCATTTTAAAAAATTAAACACATGATCATTACACTCTAAGAAGACATTGGTTTTACAGTTTGATTACTGGATTGCACTGCTCTGACAACAAAATTGTAATGACAGAAAAGTATTAAACTTTAATGTAGGTGCAACAAAGCCAGGAAGGAAACGTTGAGAAAATCTTAACAGAAGGAGAAAGCTGTATCACTCCTACTTTGCCCAGTGGCATGAGGTTTGAAGAAAAGCTATCTCTACAAAATTAACAAAGGACATTTGCATAGCAACTATGTGAAACAAAATCACAACAATTTTGTTGTTTGCCCTGCACTTGGCCAGCTTCTAACCAAACTGAAAATCAATAGTGTGGGTAAGAGAATACGTCTGGTGCAGGATTAACTTGGGTAACAGCTGTTATCTAGTAAAGAGGCTTGATTATGACCCAACTTGTACAGCAAGGACCAAAAGATGGCCTGCTAGGTTCTGGTCCAGAAGAATATGGGATCACATGAACAGCATCTGCATCTACCTATGTGAAACATCCTCCAACACTGAAGAAGACAGCTTCTGCTTACACAAGGCTATATTTGGTTTTTAGAATTACAGACATTTACACCTTCCTCCAGGGGACGCGGGTGGCGCTGTGGGTAAAAGCCTCAGCGCCTAGGGCTTGCTGATCAAAAGGTCAGTGGTTCGAATCCCCGCGGCGGGGTGCGCTCCCGTTGTTCAGTCCCAGCGCCTGCCAACCTAGCAGTTCGAAAGCACCCCCAGGTGCAAGTAGATAAATAGGGACCGCTTACTAGCGGGAAGGTAAATGGCGTTTCCGTGTGCGGCTCTGGCTTGCCAGAGCAGCGATGTCACGCTGGCCACGTGACCCGGAAGTGTCTCCGGACAGCGCTGGCCCCCGGCCTCTTGAGTGAGATGGGCGCACAACCCTAGAGTCTGTCAAGACTGGCCCGTACGGGCAGGGGTACCTTTACCTTTACCTTTTACACCTTCCTCCAAGTACTCCCATCTCTCCCTCCTTGTTCATGTTACCTCAAATTCTTAAATTGCGTAGTTTCAGTTTATAGTGTTCAGAAAGAAAATAGAGTTGTGTAAAAAAAGTAATAATGTAATAAGAGCACTGCTGGATTAGACCAAAGCCTGATCTAGTCCAACGTCTTTTCAGTGGCCAACTGAAGCCTATGAGAGGACTACAAGAACGCTGCATATCTTATGATTCTTTTCACAGTAGTAATTTAAACTAAATATTTTTTAATTACCCAGATACAAAGCATAATTCCTTGAAGTATCCTTCAAGATGCATGTAATGTGGCCATTAAATAATGTTATCATTCCTTAAATTTCAGTGCATAATATGCTAGTATTCCTAGAGCAAACAACTAAAGGTATATTCTAAATTACCAATTTATTTTAAAATAGAAATAAAAACTTTAGGGAGCTTATCAAAATTAAGAGGCTAGGACTTCTTCTGGAGCTACTTCTCATCAGAAAAACATCTGGGACGCTGCATTCTACGAATTCTGCATACTCACACAAGGAAGTATCACTCACTCAGAAGTATATTTCTGCAGCTGTTGCGAGTTTTCAAATGACACTTTTTATCTGGTTATCAATCTGATTCTCAGTCTTGCAACAGCATGAACCTCAATAAAATACATAGGGCTTCTACTGGAAAAAGAATTGGTGTTTGGATGTTGTTTGCAGATTATGCAGCCTTGACAGTGCACTCCGAGGAAGCTCTAGAGACTCATAAACTGTTTTGCGTAAGTGGTGTGCGGCCTCACCTTCAGCCTTACAAAGACCAACTTGGGTCAGGACATTGCCAGCAGTCCATGCATCAGAACTGGTGATCACACGCTTCAGGTGTTAAGATGATTTTGTCTACCTGGGCTCCACCATAACCCGCAACCTTTCCACTGATGCTGGACAAGCGTATTGGTAAGGCAGCCACAGCAATGGCCGCACCTCTCCAAAAGGGTATGGGAGAAAGTGATGCTAATGACCAGTACCAAGATGAAGGTCTACCCCATGGCAGGACAGAGCCTCAAACAAATACATGCTCTTCCAAGTCCTGTCTCAGTGACAACTATACTGGCTTGGTAATGTACACAGGATGCAAGGTGACAGGATCCCCAAGGATGTGCTCCACAGGGAGCTGCCATCAGGCAGCAGGCCTGTTGACAAACCAACTCTGTGTTATAAAGTTGTCTGCAAACGTGACATGAAGGTTGACAATATTAACCCTGCTATGTCGGAATGCCTTGCAAACAACTGCAGTACCTGGAGACAGACAGACAGGTTGTGTATCCAAATCAATGACCAGAGGAGGAATGACTGCTGGGAGGAGCACGGAGAGAAGAAACGCCATAGTGCATCTGCACCAGCGAAACCAAACGCCTTCATCTGCCCCAGCTGCAATAAAACATGTTTCTCCTGTATTGGTCTCTACAGCTACAACAGGCGCTGTTAACTCCCCCCAATGGCACACTCTTCCATTGTCTCTTGAGACAGATGGATGCCAACAATAACAAGCTTCCTTATCCCTTTTTGATAAAGTTGCAAAATGTTGCACTTCGGAATAGTTTATAGAAGCATAGAATCAGAGAATTGTAGAGTTGGAAGGGACCATGAGGGCCATCTAGTCCAACCACCTGCAATGCAGGAATCTTGTGCCCAGTGTGGGGCTTGAACCCATAACCCTGAGATTAAGAGCCTCGCGCTCTGCTGACTGAGTTATCCCAGCTCTTGTCAGTTTATGTTTTCAAATGATGCTTTATATCAAGGTACTCTGGTTGGGACGCGGGTGGCGCTGTGGGTAAAACCTCAGTGCCTAGGACTTGCCGATCGCATGGTCGGCGGTTCGAATCCCTGCTGCGGGGTGAGCTCCCGTTGTTCGGTCCCAGCTCCTGCCCACCTAGCAGTTCGAAAGCACCCCCAAGTGCAAATAGATAAATAGGTACTGCTTTATAGCGGGAAGGTAACGGCGTTTCAGTGCGCTGCGCTGGTGCTGGCTCGCCAGAGCAGCTTTGTCACGCTGGCCACGTGACCCGGAAGTGTCTTCAGACAGCGCTGGCTCCGGGCCTCTTAAGCGAGATGAGCACGCAACCCCAGAGTCGGACACGACTGGCCCGTACGGGCAGGGGTACCTTTACCTTTTACTCTGGAGATAAAGGATTTTTCTTAAATTGAAAGTTAATTAATTGTCTCACAAGGAAAAAAATGTGAGGCTAAATAGATTTTTTAGATTACCAAGAAATTAATTTTTATTTTCAGAAAATGTAGTTTCTGGTGTTAAAGGTAACTGATAAAATAAAAATCAGACCCACAAGGCCAAGCTGGTACCCAGAAATAATGCTGTAAAGGTGAGACTTACAAGTGGCAAATTTCACTTGTTGTCACCTATAACACCCACATCAATGATCTTCAGCAATCCTAGAGAGTAGTATTTCCCTCTCACAGGCCCTGGGAGAATTCCCAGTATAGAGTACTCGAGTTTGTGCTGAAGAGCAAAACAACTTGTGGGAAGCCAGAAGGACCCCATATAAGGAAGAATTATTTAAAATTATGCAGCCACAAGTGCTTCTATATGGAACTTTATTTCAATGTTTGGGTCTTGTAAGAGCACTCTTTTAATCCTCCAGCTTGGAAGGCTTTTCTTTGGCTCTTATGTGTTAAGATTTTGCTGTCTTATTGATTTATGCCATTTTACCCTACTGTAGATTTTATTTTAGTATGATGTTTACTGTTTGAGGAGACCTTTGGGCCAAAAAATGGTATATAAATAAACTGAATAATAATATAAACATACAATGTACCAATCCCCACAAACCACATGACACCATATATTGAGTGAAGTGATGACCACCCACTCACGCAAAAGGCTTGAGGAAGTCAAAATACTTCCAGTCACTCTGAACCAAAACATCTGAAAGCTTTTTAGGGCAGTAGGATTTCAGCTTGAGTTTAGTTTCTGGATGTTAGTAACCCAGATTCAAATAGCCCACTCAAATGTAAGAAGCTCACTTGGTCAAGTCACTACTCAACTAACTTATCTCCTTTGTAGCAAACAAAATAAAGGTGTATTGGAGACTCAATTTAGATACTGGAGTGGACATGGGGAGCCCTGCTTTGTCTGGTGTTCTCCTCTGTCACCACTGCTGTTCTTGAAAGCAAGCATATACATTTCTATTTACAGTGTCAAATGAGGGCAGGATACAAAAAAGAAGGGAGTCATAGGAGGGAGAGGTCTTAATCTTTTAATTTAGGATCTCGAAGCCACACTCTTTCAACGTATCTCAAGCACACCACCTTCTCCTACCTTGCATGTCAGCAGCTTCTTGCAAAGCTGCCAGTTTGCATGATTTACACTCCTCACTCCCACACATTTTCTTTGTTTATACGGCACACTCCTAATTAGCTAGCACAGACCTCAGGCTAAGAATTTAGTTAAACAGCAACCCCGAAACCGCTACAACTTCCTGCGTGGGTAATAATTTCTTTTTAAAAAAGAAAAGAAAAGAAAAATGCAGCCAGCCCTTCTGAAGGGAGGGATCGCAGCTCAGTGAGAGAGCACATGTTCTGCCTGGCAGAAAGCTCCAGACTCAAGTCCTGGCATCTCCAGGAGCAGAGAGCAGGTGATGGGAAAAGGGGCATCTGCTTGAGACCTTAGAGAGTTTCTGCCAGTCAGAGTTTGCAACACCTGGCCGGCCGGACCAATAGCCTGTCCCTGGTTATAAGGGCATTTTCTGTCTTCATTTTGCATTTTTATGTCGTGAACCACCCTGTGATCTTCGGATGAAGGGCAGCACACACATTTAATAAACAAAGTAAAAAATGTTGCGCCCAAAGTCAAACAAGCCTGGATTGTTTAATTTGGACAGCTACTTCCTGCAGAAATCCGCACGGACCGGCTTCTCCTCTGCCCTTAAGGTGCTTGCTGCGGTTTTCTTGTCTGTTTGCAAACGCAAGCTGGAGCTGCCGAGGCTGGCGGATGTGGCGCGGCGGCGTGGGGAGAAAGGATGCTCACGCCGGGGCGAAGTTTGGCAGGTGTCAGTCACCCTTCCTCGGCCAGCTAAGCGCTTGCTTTGCAACGGCTTGGAGGAAAGGGGGGGGGGGAGGGAGAGACGTACCTGCCTCCCAGAGACACCTGAAGTGGCGGCTTTTCCCCGATGCCAAAGGAAGCCCCTTCCAAGGAGGCGGCTCCCCCCTGAACTGTGGCGGTGGTGGAGGAGGAGGAGGAAGCGCGGATCCCCAATAACCACAGCCAACTTCTCCGCTCCCTATCTCCCCTCGCCCCTCCACACACGCCCTCCTCCTCCCCGCCGCCCCTTCCTCACCTCGGTACCGGCGCGAGGCGGCGTGGCAGGCGGCGAGCAGCAGGACGGCGCCCAGCGCCAGCGCCTTGGCGCTCCTCACGCTGAAGTAGTGGTTGATCTCGCGCTTGCCCAAGGTGTAGGCCAGGGCCGCCATCTTGGCTCCTCCATGACAACAGTGCGCGAAGGAGCGGGCGGCGGCGCACGGGCAGCTGCGCTGGGTCCCCAGCGGGGACGGCGGAGGGGAGAAGAAGAACCGCCGCTTCTGCCGCCGCCACCAGCGCAGGAGAGAGAAGCCCAGGGAGGAGAGCCCCGCGGAGGCGGGCGGGTCGTCGGCGTCCTCTTCCTCCGCTTCGCCCAAGAGCAGCGGCGGCGGCGGCAGAAGCGCGGCCCCCTCCCCTTCCTCCTCGTCCGGGCGCCGCCGCTTCACCTCAGCAGCCAGGGGAGCGCCCGCTTTCCCGCCCGGTTCCTGAAGCGGCGGCTGCAGCTGCTGCCGTTGCCCCCAACGGCCATCCGCGCCCCCCTCGCGCTGCTGCTGCTGCGGCTGGTCCGCTACCGCCCCTCGCGGCGGCGCCCCGGCGCCTGGCCCCTCCTCTGCCGCAGCCATGGAGGGGAGCGGGCGAGCCCTCGCGCCTCTCTCTTTCTCACGCGAACGAGGCGCGCAAGGGCGGCGGGGAGAAGGGGGAAAGCGAAACTTGGCGAAAGAAGCGAACTTCTTTCCCTCAGCCCGCCCGACTCGGGTGTTTGCAGCAGCCGCTTCCTCCTCCACCTGCCTAACCTGCTCTGCTGGCTTGGCAAAAGGAAGGGGACGCCGCTCCCGTGGGTGGGGATCAAAGTCTCTTCGGGCACCGTCACTCTGTGGGGCAGGCCCAGGCAGAGGTGGGAAGCCCATGGGCAGGGCAGGAGAGCCCTTTCCCGCTTGCCCCCCGCCCCGGGACAGGTAGTGCCGGAGGCAACGAGAGCCACGTTGACTAACCAGCCCTTGGCAGCCCGGCCCACCCTCCAGGAACTGGACTTACCGTACTTTAAAAGTCACCCAAGTTGGCCGCTGTCCGTCAGCACATCTTACTTAGGGCTGCAAATCCCCGAGTGTTTTCAGAGGGGTGAGGCAGTGCCGCGACTTTACTTGACCTCTGGCGTGGTTACAGTATTTCCTTTTAGTGACCCTGCCCTACATGGAATTTTTCTTTAGTTCTCTGCCATAGTCATTGCTGCATCATCTTTTGAAGGTCCGCCTCAGTTTTAGCCCCACTCACCTGTCGAAAGAATCAATGGCAACCCTGTGTGCTTAGCTACATTTCCTGAACCACTGGACAAACTGACAACTTGGTATTTTTTATTGTATTTTGTTTCAGGGCTAGGAACAGAAATTGCCACCTGCAAGCATATCTTCCATGTATTCATTTGCTCCACACTATGCATAATTGATGCAGCTCAAATATGCCTTTTTTTCTAAACTAAAAAGGCCCAAATGTTGTAATCCTATTGTCATGGGGGAGCTGCTCCAGACACTTGATTGTTTTCTGAACTTTTCCCAGCTCTGCTGCAGTGTCTTTTTTGAGGTGAGGTGACTACAGCCTGTACACAGGATATCTCCCCATACCTTTGCATAATGGCGTTATGGTACTGGCAGTTTTATCTTCCATCCCTTGGCTAATTATCCTTAACTTGGGATTTGCCTTCTTCACGGCTGCTGCCCACTGGGTTGACATCTTTGTTGAGCTATGCACTGTGCCTTAAAAGCCTCTTGCCTGGTCACTTGCCATCATTTCAGACATTGTTAGCATATACAGGAAATCAGTTTGAAGAGATCCTTTTGGAGCTCCTCACAGTCTCCTTTTGTTTGAACCATCCTAAACAATTTGGTATCATCAGCAAACTTTGCTACCTCACTGCTAACCCCTAACTCTAGATCATTTATGAACAAATTAAGAAGCAGAGGTCCACTTTCTACAACCCTCCACTAGAAAAAAAATGTCCATTCATTTCTACTCTCTCTTTCATCCTCCTTTGCCAACTGCTGATCTATAAGAGGAGCTCTCACTTGATCTCAGTCTCAATCCTCTGATAGCTTACTCAGGAGTCATTTTGAAATTTAAGTGCACAGAGCTGACTGTATCATCTCTGTTTGCTTATTGGCACACAAATAACTAAAAGGTTAATGAGATAGGACAGACTTGCAAAAGCCTTGCTGGTTTCATTGCATTTGGTTGCTGAATATCAGCCATCCTTTAATCCTTGACGATGCTCTACTAACAAATGTAAACATTAGCACAACACATTATTTGAATTTATTTCCCGTATTTGCTGAAAGGTTCCCAGGGGAATAATTCCCTAGACGACGTGGAGGCTGTTTTTAGCTAGAATTCATAGCTCTCAAAAATACTCTGGTGACATGAGAACTTCCTTTGTCCATTGTTTTTGCTTCATCTGCCTTAACGAATCCCATGTAAAAATGTTTACAGTGTAAGAATTGTGAATGTAATGTTTATGGATGTGACTTTTGAATTCTTTTAACAACACAAACAAAGAACCATGGGAATTTTTGTTCTCTTAGTATTTGCTAAAACAAAGGAATGGCTGATTTATGATTGCTGGAGAAAGCGGAAAACTGGTTGCCTTGATGTGCTGATGGACAACTCAGGCATGGCATATCTAGACTATAGTTCTGCTGAGCACTATGCTCTCATTGAATGTGGATACTTTGGACAAGCCATATAGGTGAGATCTGAAGCTGGCAGTTCTGGTCTGCATGTAGCTTTTTTAGATTGCAGGTTTCAATAGGAAAGCAACACCTTAAAGGGGAAGGGGTAGAATTATATATGCATGCATTAGCATGCTGTGGTTATTATTGTTACACCCTTTGGTAGGGGATGATTTGTGTCTTCATCAAGGAGGACAAACCAGGTCACAGAAGTTTACAATTTTTTGTTCAACACAGCACTATGTCTATTTCCCCCCTTTATTTTCGTAATAACTAATAAAATGGGTGATATGTTAGAAGGGAGGAAAAAATGCTGGGGTGAGGGGTATGTATTTCCCTGGTGTGTAAGATTGCAGTCTTAGACTTTGTTTCAGTTGTGGGTGAAGAGGGCTAAGGCTGTAAAACAATGCATTCTTATTCAGGAGGAAGCCTGACTTCTTTCACCTCTGATTAAACAAAAATGAGATCAGGCTGTGTAAAATGAATGTACCTCCAGATGTCTTTTTATTGTGCGTTCATGATGCTTTGTGCTCTTGATGCTCTCAGAGTGGTCATATGTGATCCTGCTTTCAGTAATACTTGTCCTTACAACAGCTCCAGGAGGGTAGCCACATTGCTTCATTTCCAGTCAGTGTTAATCCTGTGGCTTTCTTCTTAATTTGAATACCACAAATGCCCTGGTTTATTTCTGTTGCACAATAGTTTGCCCAGACAGCAATAATGTTAACATCAGGGAAGAAGCACTACTGAATAGCACATAAAAGCATAAAAAATCCACCACCCATTCACAATTATTGTGGCAAGAACATGTTGCAGAATGCAGTCATAACAGAATGCCAGTCTAGCAGGGGTCCCAAGATAGAGGCTTTAAAGAAATTATTTTGAGCTGGGGCTTGAAAAAAAGAGAAAAAGAATTGGTTCCACATATGTGTTCAGGCATAGAGTTCCTGCCATGCAGGACTGGAAATGAGAACAGGCAGGGCAATTTCTTCCCAGCTGCCATTGCATTGAACTGGTGTAATCAGGCAGAGCTATTTTGTATACACGTTTCTACAAAGCAATTTTCCTTAATACAATGCATTTTTGCACACATTACTTGATTGGAGAACTGCACTGCAAAATTCAGAGAAGTGCAAATTTGAAAGAACTGTTGCATGTTAATCCCCATGTTGGTTTGGAAAGTGCAATTTAGGTAAGTTTGCCTTTAAATGCGAACTGATTTAAATTTCTTCCACATCCCTAGTGATGACATTATTTTACTTATATACTGTAAGAGACTTTTAATCCACCCTTCCCCATAATGTCCCAGGGAAGGTTGCAAAATTAAACATTAACATACAACAAAACAATGTAAAACAAACCAAAGAATGTACTGCCAACAGAATCACATTAATTGTAAATGTCAAAAGCCAGGGTAAAGAGGTGTGTCTTCAACAAGTGATATAAACCATACAATGAGAATGCTTGCTGGTCTAGTTGAAGTGGACAGGCTCTTGCAAGCCTTTTTGTGAACCGTTTGAAAAGCATTTTCTGATGAAATCACTCACATCTGATCCAGTTTGGAAATAACTGGCATGGCAGCTCTTTAATGGGGGCACCTGAAGTCACTGCTTCTCCAGTTAGGTTCAATTGGTTTTCATTAGTTTCTTCTGAAGAGGCAGATATGTTGTACGAAAACTCTTGGCCCACATCACACCCTTTTGACCTTGTCTGTCTTACTGGGTTAAGGCCTCAATGTATTACTAATGTGGAAGGTGTGCTGTGTTTTGCCTTCAAACACAGTCACTAATTCACCCAACTTTTGAAACATCATAATTAGGCTGTACCAACATCAATTATTACAGGGCACCTTGAACATTCCACTTTTGGGGCAAGGCATGGAGACTTCCAACCCTGTTGGGAGAGGCCAGGGTTTGCATGGAATTCTTTTGCATGCTCTACCACTAAACTGAAGTCTACCATGTAAAAGGGGTCCATGTTCTTCAGAACTGTGTTTCCTTTTTAAACAGCAAGGAACCAAGCACCTTTGGGAAAGCTACAAGCTCGGCTTTGAGGCAACAGCCTTCCTTTGCCATGCATCAGCTGAATTGCCCCTGAACACAGAGATTTCATTCAATTATAATTTACTTGCTTACTTACTTATTGCCTTTATTTGCCACCTTTTTCTCCAAAGAGCTCAAGGTGGCATACATGGTTCTCTCCCCATCCTCGTTTAATCCCCATAATAATCCTATGAGGTAGATTGGACAGAGACACACGACTGGTCACCCAGTGAATTTCATAGTGGAGTGGGGATTTGAATCCTGGTCTTGCAGGGCCTAGTCTGATACTCTAATCACTGCAACACACCGACATTCCACCTATTAGCTAATAGCCTTCAGCAGGCCTTTCATTTTCCCCAAGTATTTTAAGAAAGCTATTTAGTGGCCATCACTGCTCTCTTGTGGTTCCTGAATTCTGTAAGTTAAATCATGTGTGAAGAAGCGTCTTCCTATCTGCCCAACCAAGTGCATTGAAAGCCTGCTTCTGCCACAAACAAATTGCATATGCTTCTGGGCAACACATAGTTGTGATATTGATATACAACTTTTTACCCCGGAGGAGTCAGTGGTTATCGCCTTGTAAAAGAAAACTAAATTGAATGTATTGGCATATTTAACTAGCAAGTGGTTGTGGAATCGTTTTCTCTCTCTACAGTACTATTTTATTTGGGGTTTAAAAAAAATGTTTATTTGAAAATATAACAGAAAGAAAGGGAAACTTAATGTAGACATATAGATTAATATACAGCATGCAGTCCATATGTCTGAATAGGTACTGTATGATGATTACAAACTATGCATTCCATATCAGACCATGGA